CAGAACGTGCCACTCACAGTGGACGTCAACGTTCCCGTGCCGTCATTCAAAACGAGAGGAGGCCATTGTGTACCGGCGTCACGGTCCGCATTTGCCAAATTTTAACCATAAAATTACACCGCAAATTACTCAATTGGGATCACACTCAGCAGTAGCAATCATCGCCTCCCCCTACTGTGAAACTACCGCACGCTCTGCCTCTGAAACGCAGCAGCAGCAGCATCAGCGACGTCTTCCTGCGTTGATTATCGCCTCGTGCCACACAGGAGCAGCTGCCACTGGGGGTCCTCACTAGGCTAGGCCACACAGCACCGTCCATACGGCCTCTACCGTGAAGCTACCGCAGGCTGTGTCTGTGAAACAAAGCGACCAGCAGCAGCGGCATCGCCTTCCTGCGTTGATGATCGCCTCGTGCCACACAGGGGCAGCTGCCACTGGGGGTAACGCCTCGGCTCTACTGTGTGAGGCTACGCGAGACGCAGACGGCGTCTTCCCTGCGTTGATGATCGCCTTGCGCTGGAGGGACAATAGTTCCAATACGCAATGTGCTAAATCGATGTATGTTGAACTTCTTTCTCACCGTATGCAGCCAACCGTGCTAATCGGAGGTGCGGGGGAAGGACAACAAACCAATCTTACCACGTGCACAAGCATCAACTCGGATTCATCGAGGGCGTGGATTAATTTGTATTGATGTATTGAAAACATCATCGTCAGTATCATAGCATCAGTATTATCGTCAACACTGGCTGTGGCATCATTTTCATCATCAGAGTTACAATTTTCGAGTTACGTAAACCAACATCGTCACTGCAGTCATCATCATTCGAATCATTCATGACGTCACTATCAATTATCATCATCGCGATAAATATCAAGCTATCATCACTCATAAAAGGCACCGCGACTCCGATCAGATAATACAACACGCTCAACATCATCACTAACATCAGTATCGTGATTATAAATACCATCGCCACAAATATAATGCTCAGCAACATGCACATAAAGGTCTTGTGTGACTTCTAATCAGCTCACGTACAATCCCAACATCATCATCATCAGCGTCATCGTGAATATCAACTCACAAATATCATCAAACATCAGCATCATTCACGTACAGGACTCGTGTGACCGTATGGAGCTGCGGGGGCCGACGTCCACCCCACCGCCCTCGCTGGGCAGGTGGGGCGCGACGTCCCCCCCCCACTCCGCTCCCTCCTCCGCCGCGTCGATCGCCTCCCGCCGGGCCCCCCGCCGACCGGGTGATCGTCCGCCCCCCCCCCCCCGCCCCCCGCGCTAGCGCCCTCGCTGAGGCCCACGGCGAAATTTCCGCACGGAGTTAGCCCGCACACTCAGGCGCGTGCGCACCACCGCCAAAGCTAACGAAGCGGACAGCGGCACGCCAGCGCCCACCACACCTGCAAACGGTTGCTTCTTGACACGCCGCCCGCATGCTGCGGCTCCGCGTTCGCTCTTCTGTGCACGCCGCCACTCATGCTGAGGCGACGCGCGGCAGTACGAGCGCGTGCACACCTGCAGGCGATTATCTCAGCGGGCGCTCGTGCTGCAGATCTCCGCTCACTCTTGCCGCGCGTCCGCCCACGCAGCCGCTCCGCACAGGAAGTCGCAGACACCGCCACCGATGCTCTGTGCTAACTTTTACTCCCGGCGCAAACCCCGCACTGCCCCTGCAAGGGAAATGTTCCACGAGCAGAGCCTAGCCTACTGCTAACCCAAGTCCCAAAATACTCGCGCGCACTATTACGTGCCTCGCGGCTGTACTCACGGCGTCGCGCGGACGCTGCGAGAGTCGGAGGGAGGATGACGAAAAAACCTCGCCTATCGCCGCCTCGTAGCAGCACTCGCTGGCATCACACGGATGCTGCGGGCGGCTCGAGAAGGCAGGACGGCAGGGGTGCGGGGGTGGGGGGGGGTCTTGGTGACCAAGATGTTGAAGCGTTCTGATCTGAACGGTTTCAGGCTCCCTTTGTTATGCCCCCTGACTTCAAAAAGCCAGGGTTACGTTATCCCGCGCGGCAAATCGTGCGCCTACCTGCGATCCGCGCGACCGTTACTTTGGCGGCCTATTGTCGAACCACCCGTACTCATTAATTTCTGACTCATCCCGTTTAACCTGGAAAGACGTCCGGCTGGCGAATAGACACCCTGCTAGTGTTTACTCGGTCTGGGGGAGGTCGTGGCGCTACGAACACCTGACCTCATGGTCTGCTCTGCTCGCTTAATATTTCACCCCAGCCCCGCTCCCCGACGTCGCGCGTGACTCATTGCGGCTGGCCCCGGTGAACATTTGTGCGCTCAGACGATTTTAAAGACAATTTAGTGGCACCGCAATGTGACCTGTCCTGTGAGGGTCGGCCAATATCCTGGCCCCCGGGAAACCGCGGGACTTTCCTCCTAGGGACCCTTCGGATGAAAACCCGTTGTGCCAGGCGATCCCCCGCCAGGACACTGCGTGTGTGTGTGCTCCGGGTGGGAGCCAGGGGGTAGTCACGGCGCTTGCAGAGTTGCTCCGCGGCCGTGGCACCACAGAGCTCATCGTCATCATAGATGTCAACCTTATCATAAATATCATCATCGCCACCAACATGAACATCGTAATCTGAAGTCTTGTGAGACTCATCAGCTCATTGCAACACGCTTAACATCAACGTGTCGTCATCATGAATATCAAAGTATCATCATAACTATGACACTTCGTGTGACTGCTGTGCACTGGGCTCGTGCGTGTAAAGACCGAGAATAGTGGAAGACTTCGAGATACGGCGACCGCGTGACTCTTGGCGATTCTGAGTTTATAATTATTATATTGTGAACATGCGTGCTCAGGATAGAATCAGAATATTGGTTAATGCTTGTGGAATCCGATGAGCTATAAAGATCTTTTTCCACAGATGTCCGGTAGGGGCACGGGGTCGGAACGTCACCCAGATAAGGCTCACCGAGACCCACGACTCGTTTTCAGGAAGGTCATGCCAATTTTTGTTGCAGTGTGGCGGGGGGGGGGCTGGGGTTGGGGTGGGCGATGATTGCTGCTGCTACTTCTGCATAATCCCAAATCGCGTGGTTTGGGGGTTCATTTTTCAAAATGTGCGACCAGTGACGGCTGGCACACAAATGAAACAACCCTAAGCTACGGGGAAAAAACTTAAGCAGTATAGAGTGGCGTGGCGACCGCACGTCAGCCCGTCGTCGGCATTTCCAAACCCAAATATCGCCACCTTCCTGGAGGCTCGGCAGCAAATGTTCAACGAGCCTCGACCGCTGTCGGCGAGACCCAGAGAGGCCGAAAAAAAACAAATCGAGAGCTCTTCTTGCTCAAACGCTGCTGGATCGTACCGTGCCGGCCCGGGAAGCCTGCATTAGAGTGAGGGACCAAAGCAATATTTCAGATCAACTTTTGAAGACACAGAATTGGATGGGGTTATATCGCATAATAATAATACGTACAGTATATTGCATTTGGATGACACTTGCGTCAACGCTTCAAACATTGGAAGGGCACCCCCCAGTGGCACCTGTCCCTGTGCAGCATAGGGTGACTCAGCACCCCCGACCCTACAAAAGAGGGGGGGGGGTAGGAGTCTGCCGGTGGTACCGTGCGGATTATCGCTCCCCGTGACCCCAGTTGCGTCGTGGACACTTCTGCGCTCACGTCTGCTTCTACTCGCGGCGCACAGCGGCGATGCAAGTAGCCAGCCGGTGCTAACGGCGTTTTAAATGGCAGCGTGCTGGCGTCTGATTGGATACGTGAATATTATATTTTTTAACTTCTCGATGTGTAGGATTAACAATGTGTACGTTTCGAGCGTCGATGTCCCGACGGCGCTCTTGAGCGGCAAAGAGGCAACGCTGACTCTGACTTGTTGGGACAGAGAACACGGGCGGTGATTCGACTCCGTGCGAGCCTCGCGTTCCGTCGTTGCTCGTCCTGCGGCCCCGCTTGCCGCCGCTCGCCCCCCGAGCGCGATGCGGCACGGCCTCCAAGGTGCGCGGGTTCGATCCCCTGTCCACACAAACGTCTCGGGATGACAACTCCCCCAACCCCCCGAGCCGTCATTTCTGACCGACGATCAACGGGCCGATCGTCGGCGCTCCCAACGGGCGCGCGGGCGCAGCCGCCCCCCCACCAGGGCTCATCGGAGGAGTCGGCCCGCAGCTGACGAACGCCGCCGACGACGACGACGATGATGATGTGTCGTCTTCGTCGTCGGATGCTGGGCCGCTGGCGTGAGACTGGGGAGCGGTGCTGAAGGCCTCCGACTCTTCCCGGCTGCCCTCCTCCTCCACCACCTCCTCCTCGTTGAGTTTGTCGTGGGTGATGTTGACGCTGTGGTCGTGGATGGAGGAGGTGGTGGCTGTTGCGATGAGGTGGTTGGAGGGCGGGCAAGGGATTTGGTGAGAGATGGCGCTGCCAACACCACCGCCTACACCGTCACTCACCCCACCCACAGCATCACTCACACTACACACACCATCACCTCCACCATCACCTACACCATCACCTACACCATCACTCACACTACACACACCATCACCTCCACCATCACCTACACCATCACTCACACTACACACACCATCACCTCCACCATCACCTACACCATCACCTACACCATCACTCACACCACCTACCCCATCACTCACACCACCCACAGCATCACCTCCACCATCAACTACACCATCACTCACACCACCTACCCCATCACTCACACCATCCACAGCATCACTCACCCTACCTACACAACCTACAGCATCATTCACACCACCCACACCATCACCTACACCATCATTCACACCACCTACACCATCACTCACACCGCCTATAGCGCCACTTGTATCACCTACACCGTCTACAGCATTGCTCAAACCGTGCACACCATTAACACCACCCCCTACACCAACCTTTACACCAACCCCCCCATTAACACCGATACGCCAAACGGTCACACCTGCACCTTGAACACCTCTACCAATATCATTCACACCCATCCTGCCAACGCCACCACCAACAGCACGACCAGCACCGCCACCAACATCACCACCAGCACCGCCACCAACACGACCACCACCACCACCACCAGCACCGCCACCAACACCACCACCAGCACCGCCACCACGACCAGCACCACCACCAGCACCGCCACCAACATCACCACCAACAGCACGACCAGCACCACCAACACCAGCACCACCAACAGCACGACCAGCACCGCCACCAACACCAACACCAGCACCACCACCAACAGCACGACCAGCACCACCACCAACACCAGCACCACCAACAGCACGACCAGCACCGCCACCAACACCACCACCAGCACCGCCACCACGACCAACACCACCACCAGCACCGCCACCAACACCAGCACCACCACCAACAGCACGACCAGCACCGCCACCAACACCAACACCACCACCAGCACCGCCACCACGACCAACACCAGCACCGCCACCACCACCAACACCGCCACCACGACCAGCACCACCACCAGCACCGCCACTAACACCACCACCAGCACCAACACCACGACCAGCACCATCACCAGCACCAACACCAGCACCACCACCAACACCAGCACTGCCACCAACACCGCCACCAACACCGCCACCAACACCGCCACCAGCACTGCCACCAACACCACGACCAGCACCAGCACCACCACCAACACCACCACCAACACCACGACCAGCACCACCACCACCACCAACACCACCAACAACACCACGACCAACACCACGACTAGCACTACCACCACCACCAACACCACGACTAGCACTACCACCACCAACACCACCAACACCACGACTAGCACTACCACCACCAACACCACGACCAACACCGCCATCAGCACCAAAACCACGACCACAGACACCACGACTACCTCCCACACCTCCTCTCCCACCAACCACATCTCTACCACCACCACCACCACCACTTCCTACGCCCACGCCTGGCCCACCACCAATTTGAGTACCTCTTGCACCACCTCCACCGTAACTCCAACCAAAGCCACCACCAACGCCTTTCCCACCAACCATATCTCTAACACCTCTCTCACCAGAGTCACCACCACAACCCCAACGACCACCACCTTTAGAACCAACCACATCTCTATTAATTCTTCCACCACCACAACTCCAACCACCACCACCAGCACTACCACCTACTCCTGTCCCACCAACACCTCCATCACTTCTTGCACCACCACCACCACCCCCACGAACACCACCAGCTATACCTTTCCCACCCACCACGTCTTTAACATTTGTCGCACCACCACTAGCACCGCAGCTCCAACTACCAACCGCAGCACCACCACCTCCACAACTCCAACCGCGGACAGCCCCACAGGAAGCCCTCGCTAGTCCTGGGGCCAGATCCGTAGGAGCCGGGCCCTCCAGTGAATCCGTATTCTCGGCCTCACGCGATTGGTGCCCCCCGTTTGCCTCCGGGGGGGGCGACGTGAGCGAGCTGCCCTCCGAGCCGCCGCCGCGCTGCCGGTGGTCGTGGTCGTCGAGCGCTGGGCCCGGCCGCCCCGCGTCGTTGGCGCCGCCGAGCCGCGGACAGAAGCTGAGCGACGCCGAGTTGACGCAGAACCTCCTGCGGCTGGGCCGGGGACCGTCCTCAAAGAGATGGCCCAGGTGGGAGCCGCACTGTGGGGGGAGTAGGGGGGGAACACCACACGGGGAAACACGGCGAGAGACAGGGAGAGGGGCGTGTGTGGGAGAGAGAGAGGGAGGGGAGAGATGGGGTAAGATGCATGGGGAGATGCAGGGAGAGACAAGAAGATGTATGTTGAACTTCTTTCGCACCGTACGTAGCCAACCATGCTAATCGGAGGTCGGCATGTGTGGTGAGAGATAGAGAAGGTTACACAGGGGAGAGAGAGGGGAGAGACATGGGGAGAGATGGGGTAAGATGCACGGGGAAGACACACAGAGAGAAAAAGGAGAGAGGCATGCGTGGGGAAAGAGAGGGATACCTTTGGAGAGAGAGGAGAGAGACATGGGGAGAGACAAGGAGATGTGTGTGGGGAGAGAGAGAGTGATACGCAGGGAGAGATAGCAGAGAAAGGGGGCAAAAGTAACGGGGAGACAGAGAGATAGAGAGAGGCGTGTGGGGAGAGAGAGGGATCCCCAGGGGGAGAGAGAGAGAGGAGAGACACTGGGAGAGATGGGGCTGCTGTCAAAATAGGTGGCTCATGTGGTAGCCGTACCGTGTGAGAGAGAGAGGGGGATGTGCAAGTGAGGTACGAACGGATGAGGAGACACGGGGAAAGAGAGGGAAGTGGGAGGCACGTGGAGCGAAACTTCGGACATCTTGCCCAGCGGTGGCGCGGTCACCTGGCTGCAGGAGGCCTCCACGCGCCACACGCCGCCCGACACGTCGTCCCCAAGCGCGACGGCGTGCGGGGTCACGGCCTCCGAGAAGGACGGCCACCCTGTGGCGGGGTCGGGGGGCATCGGGGGAGACGGGTCAAGGGTCAGGATGGCGACCTCCGCCTAACCCACGGCCGAACACAGACACAGATCTAAAACTTTTCAAGGAGTTGGGGGGGTGTGGGGAGTGGGGAGTCCTTACATGTACAGCTCATTAAACAGAGCCCCCACACTGGCTGGATGCCTGAGTAGATGGCTGAGTGGTTGAGTAGATGGCTGGGTGGCTGAGTGGATGGCTAGGTGGCTGAGTAGATGGTTGAGTGGCTGAGTGGATGGCTGGGTGGCAGAGTGGCTGAGTAGATGGCTGAGTGGTTGAGTAGATGGCTGGGTGGCAGAGTGGTTGAGTAGATGGCTGGGTGGCAGAGTGGCTGAGTAGATGGCTGGGTGGCTGAGTAGATGGCTGGGTGGCTGAGTAGATGGTTGAGTGGCTGAGTGGATGGCTGGGTGGCAGAGTGGCTGAGTAGATGGCTGGGTGGCAGAGTGGATGGCTGGGTGGCAGAGTGGCTGAGTAGATGGCTGGGTGGCAGAGTGGCTGAGTAGATGGCTGGGTGGCAGAGTGGCTGAGTAGATGGCTGGGTGGCAGAGTGGCTGAGTAGATGGTTGAGTGGCTGAGTGGATGGCTGGTTGGCTGAGTGGATGGCTGGGTGGCAGAGTGGCTGAGTGGATGGCTGGGTGGCTGAGTGGCTGAGTAGATGGCTGGGTGGCTGAGTAGATGGCTGAGTGGCTGAGTGGATGGCTGGGTGGCAGAGTGGCTGAGTAGATGGCTGGGTGGCAGAGTGGATGGCTGGGTGGCAGAGTGGCTGAGTAGATGGCTGGGTGGCAGAGTGGCTGAGTAGATGGCTGGGTGGCAGAGTGGCTGAGTAGATGGCTGGGTGGCAGAGTGGCTGAATAGATGGCTGGGTGGCTGAGTAGATGGCTGGGTGGCAGAGTGGCTGAGTAGATGGTTGAGTGGCTGAGTGGATGGCTGGTTGGCTGAGTGGATGGCTGGGTGGCAGAGTGGCTGAGTGGATGGCTGGGTGGCTGAGTGGCTGAGTAGATGGCTGGGTGGCTGAGTAGATGGCTGAGTGGATGGCTGGGTGGCAGAGTGGCTGAGTAGATGGCTGGGTGGCAGAGTGGCTGAGTAGATGGCTGGGTGGCAGAGTGGCTGAGTAGATGGCTGGTTGGCAGAGTGGCTGAGTAGATGGCTGGGTGGCAGAGTGGCTGAGTAGATGGCTGGGTGGCTGAGTAGATGGCTGGGTGGCTGAGTAGATGGTTGAGTGGCTGAGTGGATGGCTGGGTGGCTGAGTGGCCGAGTAGATGGCTGGGTGGCAGAGTGGCTGAGTAGATGGTTGAGTGGCTGAGTAGATGGCTGGGTGGCTGAGTGGCTGAGTAGATGGCTGGGTGGCTGAGTAGATGGCTGGGTGGCTGAGTAGATGGCTGGGTGGCAGAGTGGCTGAGTGGATGGCTGGGTGGCTGAGTAGATGGCTGGGTGGCAGAGTGGCTGAGTAGATAGTTGAGTGGCTGAGTAGATGGCTGGGTGGCTGAGTAGATGGTTGAGTGGCTGAGTGGATGGCTGGGTGGCTGGTTGGCTGAGTAGATGGCTGGGTGGCAGAGTGGCTGAGTAGATGGTTGAGTGGCTGAGTGGATGGCTGGGTGGCTGAGTGGCTGAGTAGATGGTTGAGTGGCTGAGTAGATGGCTGGGTGGCTGAGTAGATGGTTGAGTGGCTGAGTGGATGGCTGGGTGGCTGGTTGGCTGAGTAGATGGCTGGGTGGCAGAGTGGCTGAGTAGATGGTTGAGTGGCTGAGTGGATGGCTGGGTGGCTGAGTGGCTGAGTGGATGGCTGGGTGGCGGAGTGGCTGAGTAGATGGTTGAGTGGCTGAGTAGATGGATGGGTGGCTGAGTAGATGGTTGAGTGGCTGAGTGGATGGCTGGGTGGCTGGTTGGCTGAGTAGATGGCTGGGTGGCAGAGTGGCTGAGTAGATGGTTGAGTGACTGAGTGGATGGCTTGGTGGCTGGTTGGCTGAGTAGATGGCTGGGTGGCAGAGTGGCTGAGTAGATGGTTGAGTGGCTGAGTGGATGGCTGGGTGGCAGAGTGGCTGAGTAGATGGCTGGGTGGCTGAGTAGATGGCTGGCTGGTTGGGTGAGTAGATGGCTGGGTATCTGCGTAGATGGCTGAGTGGCTGAGTGGATGGATCGGTGGCTGTTAGAAGGCCGAGTGGCTGGATGGATAGATGAGGCTGTGACTCTCTGTGTGGCTAAGCTGGCGCCAGGCATTTCGCTAGCTGCTGCCGGGCAAGGGCAGAGTTAAGCCACAGTTCAGGAGGGCGAGGGGGCACGCGAGGATGATCATTATAATTCTGATTACTCACCTGACCCGGAGTCGAACTTGCTTTCAGACCTGGGTTTAAAGGCAAACAAGAAGAGTTACCATCGCACAAGCTCCATGCGTATCGGCGTGGGCTGGCGTGTTCCTGCGCACGTTACGTTACTTTTACGCCTGTGACCAAGTTGACCACACTGCGTCCCATCTCCTTAGATCTCCTTGGGATGGTAAGCAGTCAACAGCGCTCAAATAGTGGGAATCGTCGGAGATTATTCTGACCAGAGTGAGCCGTGGCCCTACGGGTGTTGATGGCGAGCTACCTCTACTTACGAACGAGTTGGGTTCCAGAGGTCTGTTCGTAAGCCGACTTTACTCCTGTCAATTCCAAACACGTTGTATGGCATGCACACTAAACACGGGGAATGGCGTCAAACGTTGTATAATCTCCTGCAGATGTAGACGCCACTGGTTCTTCACATTCTGTAGATGTAGATGCCACTGGTTCTTCACGTTCTGCAGATGTAGATGCCACTGGTTCTTCATGTTCTGCAGATGTATATGCCACCGGTTCTTCACGTTCTGCAGATGTAGATGTCACCGATTCTTCGCGTACTGCAGATGTAGATGCCACTGGTTCTTCACGTTCTGCAGATGTAGATGCCACTGGTTCTTCACGTTCTGCAGATGTAGATGCCACTTGTTCTGCAGATGTAGATGCCACTGGTTCTTCATGCTTCTGCAGATGTAGATGCCACTGGTTCTTCACGTTCTGCAGATGTAGATGCCACTTGTTCTGCAAATGTAGATGCCACTGGTTCTTCATGTTCTGCAGATGTAGATGCCACTGGTTCTTCATGCGTCTGCAGATATAGATGCCCCTGGTTCTTCATGCTTCTGCAGATGTAGATGCCACTGGTTCTTCATGTTCTGCAGATGTAGATGCCACTGGTTCTTCATGTTCTGCAGATGTAGATGCCACTTGTTCTTCATGCTTCTGCAGATGTAGATGACACTGGTTCTTCATGTTTCTGCAGATGTAGATACCACTGGTTCTTCACGTTCTACAGATGTAGATGCCACTGATTCTTCATGTTCTGCAGATGTAGATGCCACTGGTTCTTCACGTTCTGCAGATGTAGATGCCACTGGTTCTTCACGTTCTGCAGATGTAGATGCCACTGGTTCTTCACGTTCTACAGATGTAGATGCCACTGGTTCTTCACGTTCTGCAGATGTAAATGCCACTGGTTCTTCATGTTCTGCAGATGCAGATGCCACTGGTTCTTCATGTTCTACAGATGTAAATGCCACTGGTTCTTCATGTTCTGCAGATGCAGATGCCACTGGTTCTTCATGTTCTACAGATGTAGATGCCACTGGTTCTTCACGTTTTGCAGATGTAGATGCCACTGGTTCTTCATGTTCTGCAGATGTAGATGCCACTGGTTCTTCACGTTCTGCAGATGTAGATGCCACTGGTTCTTCACGTTCTGCAGATGCCACAGGTTCTTCACGTTCTGCAGATCTAGATGCCACTGGTTCTTCACGTTCTGCAGATGTAGATGCCGCTGGTTCTTCACGTTCTGCAGATGTAGATACCACTGGTTCTTCACATTCTGCAGATGCCACTGGTTCTTCATGTTCTGCAGATGTAGATGCCACTTGTTCTTCAGGTTCTGCAGATGTAGATATCACTGGTTCTTCACGTTCTACAGATGTAGATGCCACTGGTTCGCCACGTTCTACAGATGTAGATGCCACTAGTTCTTCACGTTCTGCAGATGTAGATGCCACTGGTTCTTCACGTTCTGCAGATGTAGATGCCGCTGGTTCTTCACGTTCTGCAGATGTAGATATCACTGGTTCTTCATGTTCTGCAGATGTAGATGCCACTGGTTTTTCACGTTCTGCACATGTAGATCCCACTAGTCCTTCACGTTCTGCAGATGTAGATGCCACTGGTTCTTCACGTTATGCAGATGTAGATGCCACTGGTTCTTCACGTTCTGTAGATGTAGATGTCACTGGTTCTTCATGTTCTGCAGATGTAGATGCCACTGGTTCTTCATGCTTCTGCAGACGTAGATGCCACCACCGCCATCTATTGTACAGTGGTTGAACTTACGACTCTCGGTCCGAACAGGCGACTGGACATATGGACAGGTTTGTTCAAATCTATGAAAGCTCGTAAGTCGAACGTAAGTAGAGGAGTCCCTGTACGTCAAAAAGCCGAGCTAAATCGCAATTCCCTCCCTTCCGTCATCTCTTTCCACAAGCCCTTGCGCACACGACTCCGGCAGCTGTGTGGTTCTGGAGCTCGGTGCCAATGTCGAGGTCTCCTGCTGCTGCTGGTCCCCACGACGAGAGGGCTTCAGCAGAACGAGAGCGAGAAAGTCGAGCTGCCGCTGTTCCTCCTCCTGCGTTGAAGGAGCGCAGGCTGCAGTGGGTTTACTGCGCGCTCCATAGTTTGGGTTGCATGGCTACATACTTTAGTGTATCTCTACAGGTCTCTATGTACCTCTACGGGTCTCTATGGGTCTCTATTTCTACGTGTCTCCTTGAGTCTCTATGTGCATCAGTGTGTCTCTTTGGGTTTATTAAGTGGTCCATAGTTTGGGTTGCATGGACACAATCACACCACGTTGGCTTCTCTTAAGTGTATCTCTACAGGTCTCTATGTTTCTCTACGGGTCTCTATGGGTCTCTATTTCTACGTGTCTCCTTGAGTCTCTATGTACGTCAGTGTGTCTCTATGGGTTTATTAAGTGGTCCATAGTTTGGGTAGCATGGACACAATCACACCAGGTTGGCTTCTCTTAAGTGTATCTCTACAGGTCTCTATGTATCTATACGGGTCTCTATGGGTCTCTACGAGTCTCTATGCATCTCTTTGTGGTCTCTGTGGGCTCACTGTACGGTCCACGGTTTTGTGCGCATGGCCACAATGGCACCACTGTGCGCATCTCGGCCCTGCTCGGTGACGCTCTGATGGTGCGGGGTCATCGCAATGGGTGGTGGTGCCGCCCGGTGGCCACGGCGAGTTATCGCGTGTCGTTCGACGCCAGCTCACGGCCACCACCAACACCGGTGAGGATCATCTGAACCGGTTTCGGGCCTCCCCTAGGTCGACTCAGCCTCAAATGAGTACCTTGGGCGCGGTGTGTTAACATCGCCACTGGCGAGACAAAGGCGGCCGGGGCGTGGTGCTGGCCACCCACCACCCCCCTTCGTGTGCCGTGCCGGCCTTCATAGGTGCTCACTAACAGCACTTGCCCCAACAGTCTCTGTGTGTGTGTGCGTGTGTGTGGAGCGGTGGCGTACGTGAAGAGAGCGGCCCCGCACACGAGGCAGCCATAGGTCCCCGCAGCGCTGTGCAGGGTCAGCTCCCCCGAGAATGGCCTGTGGGGACACGGGGGATACACGTGGAGAGACACGGGGGAGACACGAGGGGGAGACACGGGGCAGACACAGGGACACGTGGAGAGACACGGGGGAGACACGGGGGAGATACGGGGGCACGCGGAGGTACACGGGGGAGACACGAGGGGGAGACACGGGGCAGACACAGGGACACGTGGAGAGACACGGGGGAGACACGGGGGAGATACGGGGGCACGCGGAGATACACGGGGGAGACACGAGGGGGAGACACGGGGCAGACACAGGGACACGTGGAGAGACACGGGGGAGACACGGGGGAGATACGGGGGCACGTGGAGAGACACGGGGGAGACACGAGGGGGAGACACGGGGCAGACACAGGGACACGTGGAGAGACACGGGGGGGACACGGGGGAGATACGGGGGCACGCGGAGGTACACGGGGGAGACACGAGGGGGAGACACGGGGCAGACACAGGGACACGTGGAGAGACACGGGGGAGACACGGGGGAGATACGGGGCAGACACAGGGACACGTGGAGAGACACGGGGGGGACACGGGGGAGATACGGGGGCACGCGGAGGTACACGGGGGAGACACGAGGGGGAGACACGGGGCAGACACAGGGACACGTGGAGAGACACGGGGGAGACATGAGGGGGAGACACGGGGGAGACAGGGACACGTGGAGAGACATGGGGGAGACACGGGGACACACGGAGAGACACGCGGAAAGACACGGGGACACGCAGAGAGATACGGGCGAGACACAGGGACACACGGAAAGACGCGAGGGAGAGACATGGGGACACGTCGAGAGGCACAGGGACACGCGAGGGATAGACGAAGGGAGGCACTGGGACATGCGGAGAGACACGGGGGAGACACGGGGACACGCGGAGACATGGAGAGACAGGGACATGGATACAAGGAGAGAGACAGGGGGAGACAGGGACATGGGGAGACATGGAGAGACACGGGGACACGGGGTGACATGGAGTCCTAGTGATATGATCGAAGAGATGCAGGTCAGAGACAGATGTATAGCGTGGCAAGAGAGATGTAGCTGACAAGAGACATGTCGTGAGATGAGAGAAATGTATGCAGACAAGATAGGGATGAGAGAGATTAATTGGCTGTTGAATGTTAATTCACGTGCGAATTTGTTTTGTTTAACCAGGGCGAGAACAGCTTGAGAGACCAGGATTAGCTCATCTTGCAAGGGCGGTTTGCGTCACCAAAAAAACGACAAAAGCCATCAAGTCCCGGCGATGTGCAGCAAAATTAACAAAAAATTCAGAGCAAAAGCAAAACGGCTTCACGGGAGAAATCGAACAAGGCTGCGCGAACGCGAATCAACGTTAAACAAAAACAAACAAAAAATTCCCCCCGTAATGAAAGCGACTCGTGATGTTCATGAGCAAGGGGGGGGTTGGCAGCCTGCGGCTCCGGAAGCTCTTGAAGAACCGCTGCTGCGTGACTGTTATTATTTTATATTTTCAGGGGCCACCACCGTCTCATATTCAGCACACGGTGCATTGCAGCTCTTGAAATATTGAGGGATTTTTTTTTATTATTACCAAAAAAATAAATGGCGCACTTCTTGTTACTTTTCTCGTCCCCCCCGCCCCCGCCCCATTCACGAGGATCCCAATCGAATCACGAGACAATATTTGGGGGACGCGACCAAATATTTTTCCGTCGACTGCGAAAGCCTCCCGAGCCTACTCGGGGAGGGTGGGGGGGACTTTTTTATTACACGCTTTTATTTAACTCACTGTCTCTTGTTGTCGTTGTTGTCATTGTTGTATCCTCAAATCGTGTAACTCAATTTTAACCCACTTGCCAATGTGGTGTCGACTGCAAACTTGGTATACTTATGTCATACTGATGACAATACTATATTCTATCATTAAAAAATATAAAATATATTTTTAAACATTATTTTTTTATATGTTATGTTTCGGCTTGGGTCTAAATTGTCCACGCTCAACTGACGTTGGCTGTAAATCACCACGGCCCCCTTACGTTACGGCAAGCTTCGGGGCCACTTCCTGGAGTCGTGGAGTTCATTCATTACTAGTACGGTACATTTCATTAAAGCGTGTTTTTAAAAAAAAAAGAAGTTTTTTTTTTAAAATATTACTTTTTGTAACTCTTTTGCCGACTCCCACAGCGCCACCAACCTCACCTCTCCGTGCCGCGCTGCTGCGTCACGTGGAACTGCAGCGTCGTAAGCCTCCGTCTCAGCTCCTCGGGGGCAAAGGTCACGCGGGCACGCTGCTCCCGCCGCTTCACCTCCGCTAGTCCGCGCGAAAGTCGCACAAGGAGGCAAAGAATTCCCCCGTGGAGCCCACACGCACATGTCGGGGGAAAGCGGCGTCGGCGCACGAGACAGGGGGGTGGGTGGCGAGCCCCACGCCCGGCCGCCTTTGTCTCCCCAGTGGTGCTGGTTACACGCCGCACCAAGATCTTATTTAAATCTGAGTCGACCACGGGGAGGCCCAGGACCGGTTCAAATGATCGTCATCGATGTCGGTTGTGAGCGGAAATCAAACTCAGGTCGCCGGGTTCGAAGCGCAGTGAGCTAACCACTGTGTCAACGTTGCCCATTTATACAAATACAAGAATTAGATCCCCCGTATAACCATAAATTGTTGGGGCAAATGCTGTCAGCGAGCACCTATGAAGGCCAGCACGGCGCACGAGAGGGTGGGTGGCCAGCACCACGCCCGGCCGCCTTTGTCTCCCCAGCGTCGATGTTTACATACCGCACCAGGTACTCATTTGGGGCCAAGTCGACTTAGGAGAGGCCCAGGATCGGTTGAGATAATCGTCACTGGTGTTGGCCATCACCGGGAATCAAACTCAGGTCGCCGGGTTCGAAACACAGCGAGCGAACCACTACACTACCGCTCCCCATCACACACACAAACACACACACACACGTGTACCCTTGTGCTATGGGTGAAGAACCTACTGCCCATGGGCCAGATACGACCCGTGACTTCGTTTAATAGAGCCCGTGGCCAGGCACTGGAGGCCTTCATCCAGCAGTGGATAGATCATGGCTGGTACTCACAGGGCAGTAGAGGACCCGAGCGGGGGTGAGACACCAGGCGGAGGAGGTTGTACGCAGACATGGCCGTTCAGACTCCGCTGACACTCCTCCTGAGATGAGCAGACACACACAAAGCCAAAAATCCCCCGTATAGCCTGAGCATACTGTTGGGGCAAGTGCTGTTAGCGAACAACTTTGAAGGTGCGTACGGCACACGAGGGGGTGGGTGGCCAGCACCACGCCCGGGCACCTTTGTCTCCCTAGTGGCGATGTTTACTCACCACACTGGGAACTCATTTGAGGCTGAGTCGACAAAAGGGAGTCCTTGGACCGGTTCAGATAATTGTCACTGGTGTTGGCCGTGAGCGGGAATCGAACTCAGGCCTCTGGGTTCATAGACACCAACACGGCCACAGACACACAATGTACATAGACGTACACACGGCCACAGACACGGACGTACACACAGACGTATCCATGGACACAGACATACAGAAGTACGCACAAATGGACACACAAATGGACATACAGACTTTCCCCCACGACCTGCCACCGACAGTAATTTGCACTGGAAGAAAGTCAGAAAGAGTCACTGCTCACAGCACCGTTGAGGCGGTACTAATTTCCTGTTTAAAGCACCGAGTCTGTGATGGAAATTCCACATCCCTATGGCGGGGGCGAGTCTATTCATACGACAACCACCGTTGACGTCTCCGCAAAGCGGTACTCGTTTTACCAACCCCCGCAGGGATGATGGGCAAAGCCAACCCACAACCGGGATTTGACACACACGATCTTCCGATTGCAGATCGCTCGCTTTGCCACTGAGCCAACTGGTTGTATGACAACACAATAATTAAAATTATTTCAACGTCCTGGGAAGAGTTACAGATCTCCCAGGACTAGCATCTGCCTCCTCAAAAAGAAAGACAATCCTGGGACAAACCAGGACCGGGTGGCATCTCCACCCATGACCCTTCGCGGCGTGGTGAGTCCCTCATCCAGCAGTGGATTGGCACAAGGGTCCGCGTGCGCGCACCTGATCCATACGCGCACTCATGTGAAGCGTGCGCCGGAACACGATTCGTGTTCGGTTAAAAATAGGGCTTCCTCGCAGACTAAAAATAATAATCAGTCTGGTTTTTTTTACGGTTGCTAAAAATTGCATATGGCTCAAGTGTGGTCCCCATCCACGCCTACCCCCACTATCCCCGCCCCCATTCCATTTCACAACCCCCACCACCACCCAAACCAGCCCAACCCCGTGTCCAGGGGAAGGGTCGGGGCCTAAAGAGGAATGGGCGGGACATACACAGGAAGGGGCGGGACATACACAGGAAGGGGTGGGACATACACAGGAAGGGGCGGGACATATACAGGAAGAAGCGGGACCGACAAAGGGTTGACAATGCCAACGTTGACATGTTTCAAGTTTCAAGTTTCATTTATTAGGTATAGCCCTGTGAGCCATGCGGCTCTTAAGTCGGGTACAACCGCAACAAACAAAATTTGAACACAGAACATCTTAAAGCGACAACGCGTAACAGAAACATTCTGGAAACGTTGGACTGGGTATAACAGCACAACCACGATAACATACAAAATACGATTAATTTATTTCTGAGCAGGGCTGAGCCTGGGCAGGGCTCCGATGAGTGACCACCATGCACCGCAGGTGCTTTGGGGGCTTTCTTTGTCAGCAGAGGGCAGGTGCGGCAACATCCATTTTCCTTGGCCACTTCTACGCTGCTGCTGTGCCGATTCTGCATGGCGAATTATGGTCGGATAACTGCCAGGCAGCTTGGGAGAAAATGACAACCTGCTTGCTTGTGGTCTTCCCTGCTATGTGCAAAAAGCACGACGAATGTTATCAAATTGTCGGCCGAATGTGCCACAAAGGTATGCCGGGCCTAAAAATCGACGGTACAAAAAGTCATTCTCAGGGCCAAAGTAGTGTGAATGTTAGATCGTGTAAATATAATTACCAGCGAAACATCGTACTCCAATTGTAAATGTTGTGGGTTTATTCTCCAACACACCGGTGTGCTGAACTAGTAAATAATTGGCATGTTTTGTTTACATGACCAACCTTACAAATTGGCTGTGTCGGGTTTAACGACACATTCATATTTACGCAATCTAACCCAAAAAAAACCTCTATCATGGACAATATTGCTCGCGAAAGCCTACGACGTGTTAATTCGAGGGCCTCTCGAGTGCGAATTGCGATTCAACTATGACATCTATACAAACCGTTGCTTTCTACTCCCCCCCCCCATGCCAAACAAAAGAAGAAGATCCAGGTAGCGGACTGACCGTTGGGCTGCCGTTGTTACCACGCCACCGTACCACGTCAGCCGCTACAACCCTTGAGTGGGGCTCAGCTCCTCCTTGTCGGCATGGCACATTTATCCTCACGGTGAGCGCCCGCCTGGTGAAAGACGTCGTAATCCCTCATTGCAATTAACAAGTTCGCATTGGGTTTCCACCTGGTGACGGCATTTTAAATGAGTGCGTGACACAAGCTTTAAACGCTCATGGCATGCCGTCGCCACCTCCTCCACCAGCAGCACCACGGGAATGGTGAGTGGAGTGAGATCAGAATCAGAATTTTTTTAAAATATATACACACTGGAGGAATCCGATGAGCTGTGAGGCTCTTTTTTCACAGATGTCCGGTAAGTGCACGGGGTAAGAACGTTACAACAACAAAAAATGCAAAAAACACGTATAGGAGTATAAGGCAAAAAAAAACCCAAAAACATACAAATTGAGCTAAACCAACCGTACCCTACCAGGCAAATCCCACTGAGGTGTCAATTTAATTTTCATAAGTAACCTGGCCACAAATGATGCTCAAGAGGGTAGTGGACGGAGGGGGGGGCAGGGGGGCAAGGTGATTGGGAGAGGGGAGGGAGACCAGGGCAGAAGTCAAAGAGGAGAGCAGCAGGGAGAGAGGAGGATGAACGCCGGGAAGGAAGCCGGGGATGAGGGGAGAAAATGTCTTGGTATGAGAGGGCGATGATGGTGATGAGAGGGGGAGGGAAGGGAGGGAGAGAGAAGGAGCAAGCAAGCAAGAGCTGCATGGAGCAGTGTGTTTTTACAAGGGGACAGGATTCAGAACGGCGGGGGTGACCGTACAGAAGTCACATGAATTAGAGATACGGAGAGACTGGGTGCAATGTGGACTAAGTTTTGCCCAAATCCTGACCAGCTGGGTCAAAAACTTAACAAATGAATGAGTGAATGGAACGGAAAGCGTCTGAGAGAACACCTACCTTGCGGTGAAATCAGCCCAGCGTTTGCAGGTGCCGGGGTGGCTTGTTAATATGATTCCATCGGCAGGATCGTGAGAGATGGTGTCGGCAGCTTGGGAAGGAAGGAGGAGAAACCCTTCATCCAGCAGTGGATCGACCAAGGCTTCGGCTGCTGTTCGTGGCACACCACATCAAGTATTGCAACCTTCGCACGTGACGAGAGGGACTGCCCCGGTGCATGTGCACAGACTGTGGGGAGCGGTAGTGTAGTAGCGATTAGCGCGCTCCGCTACGAACTCCGACGACACGACCTCACGGCCACCAACATCAGTGACGATTATCTGAACCGGTCCTGGGCCTCCCCTAGGTCGACTTGGCCTCAAAATGAGTACCCGGCGCGGTGTGTAAAGAAATCAGCACTTGGGGAGACAAAAGCAGTCGGGCGTGGTGCTGGCCACCCAACCCTATCGTGTGCCACAGTGCCGGCCTTCATAGGTGCTGCTCGCTAACAGCACTTGCCCCAAGAGTCTGTTACAGCTATACGGGGGTGTCTTTCCCTTTGGTGTTTGTATGATCTCTCGCCACAGCTCATTGCAACGATTTTGCTCTTTGCTGCCATAAAAGGCCATCGGCATTCCTGCTACCCCCGTGTAGTCCCTCCTGTGACTTAAACAAACACACACACCACACACACTGCCATAGCTCGGCTGTAACGCTGTCAAGCGTATGTTTTGAGTTTCTTTAAACAAAAAAAACCCCTTTTACTTTACCAGGTAAGGACGACTGAGCTCCGTGGCTTTTTTTTCAGAAGAGACCTGGCCACAAATTATAGCCCAATAAAAGTGGCGTGTCGTGTGGAAATGTATAACAGCCCAATACATCTAAACGCATGTTGATTCCAAATGTGGAGGGAAAAACCGGAGGACCCTGAGAAGTAGAATCCGTGCGACCATGGGATAGAACCCACGACCTCTTGTATACCAGGCGAGGTAGTTAACATCTCCTAGCCACCGTGGCGCTATCATGTGATTTGTAACACGGGTGGACCCGGCAATTTTACACGCGAGATCCGCGGTTCTTCGGCGAGAGCACCTGCGCTTACCACGGTTCGCTGCGTACGGTGTGAAAGAAGTTCAGCATACGTACAGAACAGCAGCAGCAACTTGCAACAAAATAAGACCAAAAACATCAAAGTGCACAGAATGAGTACCGTTCAAGGAATGTTGCACAGTGAACAAGCGAGGTGTTTCTTGGTCGTAAACGAAACACGCGAGTTACAAAATGAACACCCAGTTTAAATATGAGTGCAAGAGGCGACAGAAAAGGTTTATAGGCAGTGCCGGATTATCCTGGTAGCAAAAGTAGCTACATATGCTACAGTGAGGGAAAAAAGTATTTGATCCCCTGCTGATTTTGTACGTTTGCCCACTGACAAAGAAATGATCAGTCTATAATTTTAATGGTAGGTATATTTGAACAGTGAGAGACAGAATAACAACAACAAAATCCGGAAAAACGCATGTCGAAAATGTTATAAATTGATTTGCATTTTAATGAGGGAAATAAGTATTTAACCCCCTCTCAATCAGAAAGATTTCTGGCTCCCAGGTGTCTTTTATACAGGTAACGAGCTGAGATTAGGAGCACACTCTTAAAGGGAGTGCTCCTAATTTCAGCTTGTTACCTGTATAAAAGACACCTGTCCACAGAAGCAATCAATCAGATTCCAAACTCTCCACCATGACCAAGACCAAAGAGCTCTCCAAGGATGTCAGGGACAAGATTGTAGACCTACACAAGGCTGGAATGGGCTACAAGACCATTGCCAAGCAGCTTGGTGAGAAGGTGACAACAGTTGGTGCGATTATTCGCAAATGGAAGAAACACAAAAGAACTGTCAATATCCCTCGGCCTGGGGCTCCATGCAAGATCTCACCTCGTGGAGTTGCAATGATCATGAGAACGGTGAGGAATGAGCCCAGAACTATACGGGAGGATCTTGTCAATGATCTCAAGGCAGCTGGAATCATAGTCACCAAGAAAACAATTGGTAACACACTACGCCGTGAATGACTGAAATCCTGCAGCGCCCGCAAGGTCCCCCTGCTCAAAAAAGCACATATACATGCCCGTCTGAAGTTTGCCAATTAACATCTGAATGATTCAGAGGACAACTGGGTGAAAGTGTTGTGGTCAGATGAGACCAAAATGGAGCTCTTTGGCATCAACTCAACTCGCCGTGTTTGGAGGAGGAGGAATGGTGCCTATGACCCCAAGAACACCATCCCCACCGTCAAACATGGAGGTGGAAACATTATGCTTTGGGGGTGTTTTCTGCTAAGGGGACAGGACAACTTCACTGCATCAAAGGGACGATTGACGGGGCCATGTACCATCAAATCTTTGGTGAGAACCTCCTTCCCTCAGCCAGGGCATTGAAAATGGGTCATGGATGGGTATTCCAGCATGAGAATGACCCAAAACACACGGCCAAGGAAACAAAGGAGTGGCTCAAGAAGAAGCACATTAAGGTCCTGGAGTGGTCTAGCCAGTCACCAGACCTTAATCCCATAGAAAATCTGTGGAGGGAGCTGAAGGTTCGACATATTTCCGACCGAATCCGCGAGCACAAATCAGATTTGAAACACGGCAGAACGAATTCTTCGGCCGTGGCTGATCATTGATTCAACACAGCGGGTTCTCATGACATTGTCTTCCCTGATACCAAAGTTCTCTGCAAACCTCCCGGTTATTACCAGAGATTTGTCCATGAAGCCATCCAGATATACAAACACAGACACAACTTCAACCGAGAGGATGGTTTCAAATTGAGCAACCATTGGAAAGATGTTATAAATCAAGTCAAACGTTAGCTGCTTTATAATTGTACAGCCATTGCCATTGTTCTCAGTGGGTTGCGTGTACCCGTGAATCTCTCCCCCCGAACCCCCTGCAGCATAACAATAGGCGGCTTAACTCAGCCCTCCCCCCCCACCCACGTCCCTTCTTGGCTCCCCCCCCCCACTTAATCTGTATATATAATCCCGGCTGTCTCAGAGCTGTCCACTTGACACAGATATTCTGCTGTGACTGTTCCACCTGAAGACGGAAGATTGTGTTGCCTCCGAAACGTCGTGATTTAATTTAGTTGTTTTCTTTTTATTTTATTTTACCTACGTGACCAGTTACTAGCTAATCACTAAACTATTTAAATGCTAAATTCTATGCTAATTTCCTTTGTCAAGGGGCACCTCTGCGGATGTGTATACTTTAACTTAGCTATTTCAATGAGCCATTTCAATGCTAATTTATATGCTAATTCCTTTGTCAAAGCCCGTGGTCTTCTTCCTCTTCTCACACAGCTTAAATGTCGTGATCTAAGCGTGGCTTCTTCCACTCCAGCGCTGTCCTCCAGACAGGCTCGTCCCTTCACCTGATGAAGGCCGCTTGTGTTGTGGCCGAAACGTCGTGATTATTGTTGTTTTATTATTTACCTACGTGACTTTACCGAATAGAACCAAAGAGTATTTACCGAAAAAACCAAAGAGTATGAATCCTTGCACTCGCGAAAGCTTCAAATCTAGAATGTTTACAGACTTTTAACAGAACGTTGGGGCAAGTGCTGTTTAGAGAGAAGCCCCTATGAAGGCTGGAAAGACAAACGAGGGGATGGGTGGCCAGCACCCCGCCCGGCCGCCTTTGTCTCCCACGATGCGATTTTTTTACACATCGCACCACAGTACTCATTTGAGGCTGAGTCGACCTAAGGGGAGACCCAGGACCGGTTCAGATAATCGTCACCGGTGTTGACGGTGGCCGTGAGCGGGACTCCAACTCGGGGAAGCCGGGTTCGTAGCGCAGCGCGCTAACCAGTGCGCCACCGCTCCCCACGTGTAACTCTTCACGCATGGACTTACACACGAACTAACCACCGCGAACACGTTTATAGGATACATGCGCAGCCCTGCAATTCCCTGCCCACGCCACTGTTGCTGGAAGGGTAGTCCCTCTAGATTCGCTATATACATACTGTCAAATGTATACTTTAATAATATGCTGCAGCGCATACGCAGTACTGAAAAAAATGCTGTAACGTATAAGACCGTGATTAATATAGCAGAGTGCGTAATTACACAGTGCAATACATGTACTGTCACGGGTACACTGTCAAAATGTACTGCAGTGAATGCTTATAATGATATTGTAAAACGTACTGTGACTGATGCATGCACACTGAAGGTAATACCTACTGTTGACACACGCCTGTAATATATGATATTCTGTTACACATACACTTAACATATACAGTATACTATAACATATAGACTGTTACATATACTGCAAGACACGTACTGTCACACACACACGTGCTACTGTCAACAATATGCTGTTAAACGTGTACCGTCACAAATACTGTAATACATACTACAAGGCATATACTGTCACGGATATGCTGTAACATATATACTGTGAGCATTGTGTTCAGACAAAACGGCGTTGTGAGCGCAATCTGTGTAGCTTCATCCGTGCAAAACCCTCAAAGACTCCGTGTGATGTTCACATCGACATTCACCACCATCCCCAAACCCTCTCACCTTGGGGCGCACTGACAGCCAGATGATGATGTTGTTGGTGATGTTGATGATTGTGTCGTTGGTGATGACAGCGATGATGATGATGCTGCTGGTGTTGGTGATGATGATAGTGATGATGACGATAAATTAACGATGGTTGATTGTGATGATTATGTTGATGGTGATGAGAATGTTGGTGGTGATTGTGATGGTGGTGGTGTTGTTGACGATTGTGGTGATGGTGGTGATGGTGATGATGTTGGTGATGGTGGTGAGGATGATCGTGATGATGATGTGGTGATAGTGTGATGTTAGTGGTGACGGTGGCGCGGATGTTGGTGATGATTGTGGTGGTTGATGGTGATGAGGATGTTGGTGATGATGGTGATGAAGTATTAACCGAAGCGGTCAGGAATTGCGCTCTGGTTTGACAGTAGCAGAAATAATAATATAAGAAAACAAATCTGCGGGGATGACGATGGTGATAATTTCAGATGCAGACCACTTGAGCCACCGTGTGGTCAAATTTTGTAATTACAATTCTAAGTTGGTGGTCTCCACATACCGAATTATAAGACGCACCGGGAAGAAAGACGCACCTCCATACTTGTGCCTGGTCTCAGTGAAGTCACACAGATCTGGCCACACACACACCCATCTCCATATATATAAAAGGCAAAGTTGTGAATATGTGTGTCTGTTCAAAATGTTTAGCGTACTTCCCGACATGCAACAAACTTGAAATTTGCCATGTGGGTACTTTCCAGACTGTACACCATGCAAAAACTGTAAAAATACATTTTTGTTATTTTTTTTTTGGGGGGGGGGGGGGGGGGGGGAGCTCAATAATGCATTTATTTTTTGCACGGCAAGTGAGCTATGACGTCATATCTGTCACGTGACCCGCGCATGTGGAAGCGTAACGCATTGTAGTGTAGTGGTTAGCGCTCCGCGCTACGAACCCGGCGACCCGAGTTGACGATTATTTCAACCGCTCCTGGGCCTCCCCTAGGTCGACTCAGCCTCAAACGAGTAACTGCTGTGGTGTGTGAACATCGCCACTGGGGGGACAAAGGCGGCCGGGCGAAGCCGGGTCGTCAAGCTAGTCGGATTATAAGACGCACCGCCAATGTTTGCTCTACAATTCACGGGGGTAAAGTCGAGTCGAAAGTCTGCCTCATCGAGGCAGACTTTCGACTCGATTGCGATTCTGAGGTTACAGTGCGAATGACGAATTATGATAGATACGCGGGTTTATGTCATATAAAGGCGTGGGCAAGGTGGTTGTAACACGTATGCCTCACAACAACAAAGACCTGGGTTCGATACCCGGCACGACAAGCTGTCTGTGTGGGAGTTGGTATGTTCCCCCTCTGTTCTGCACGGGGTTCTTCCAGGTTCCTCCGTTTTCCTCCCATCGCTAAAAACACCCAAAACACAAAATGTAACCGGTATTGACCAAAAAGCAATAGCAATGCCACGAGGTGGTGAGATGTTAACTCCCCTACCTGGTATACAGAAGGTCGTGGGTTCGATCCCGACCCTGATGCTTGCTGTATATTTGGAGTTTGTGGTGTCTCTCTCACCCTGTGGTTGCGTGGATTTTTTTTCGGGTATTTCGAGTTTTCCACATTTAGCATCAATATGAGTATTTTCCCCCACGATAAGCCACTTCATTGGGCTATCATTTGTAAAAGCCAGGTCGCTCCGGAAAAAATGCTACATAGCTCATTGGGCATTACCTGATAAAATAAAAAAGTGTTTTTTTTTTAATGTGCCAGCTAATGACTCAATTGGGATCACACATACAACAGTTGCTGCTGCAACATCGCCCCCCTACTGCGAAAAACGTGGCAGGACCCTCCTGCAAAAGAACGTTGAGACTCAGTGAGGGTTTCCTGCATGGGTAAACAAAATGAATACTACATTTCGATTTAAAGCTTTCGTGACTGCAGGGATTCATATTCTTGGTTCTTTCGGTAAAGTCACCACGTAGAAGGGAACTAATAAAATAATTTTCTTGCTGTGGGTTTTCACACCTGATGATGATTGCTTGTGTTGCGATCGAAACGTCGTGAGAATTGTTTTATTTTTTTCATTATTTTATCATTTCACTTCTACGTGACTTTACCGAAAGAACCATGAAAAATGAATACTGGCGGAATACGACACTCAGTCACTATCAGAGTTGTCACGGTTCAATGCTCATACCAGAGGCACAGCTAGGGAGACCGAGTCACGCCTGTGATTACTTCATTCGGTAATAATAATTATCGTAGAACCTTCATACCAGCACATTTTAACCCACCTGCGTTTCTCACCTCAATAGGTGGCACAAGTTGACTATAGCCAGCCACATGCAATGTCTGTGTTGGTACCCTAGAGGGTCCCATCGGCCCTCATTACAAATGCCACGGGACATCCTTACGCCTCATAATATTTACACGCAAACTATCAACGGTGCCATTCCTCTCACTGCGGGGATACATTAGTGTGTGTTTATAGCGTATTCTCCCGAGTGTGATGCCCTCTCGGATAGGAAGGTGCAACCCCCAGGTATATATATGTGTTGTGTTACTTTAATCAAACACGAATGTGGGTGAGCGAAGCCCGCCTTATAATTCGCACACTTGTTAAAAGTGTATGCGCGTTGAACTTCTTTCGCACCGTACGTGGCCGACCGCGCTGATCGGAGGTGTGGGGGAAAGACGAGTAAACTAAACAACAGCAAGGGGTTCTAAGTTTCTAAGTTAACACTCTCAGCGGGATTTTACCTGGTAACATACAAAATATATACCTTCGTTTTATCGATATACATTTTAAAAGTGATTTGTTTACCTTTCCGATACTTTGCACTCCTATCCGTTTTTTACAAATATTTTATAAACCGTTGTAACGTTCTGATCCGCTCCTGATTTGGACGCCTGTGAGGTAAGGGGGGGGGGGGAAGAGCTTCAGAGCTCATCGGATTTATCGGTTGGCGGGAAAAAAACGACGCAGCGCGTGGCACCGTTGCAGGAGAGAAGCGCGCGCGAGCCACGTGACCCCCCCCCCACCCGTGACGCCCCCTCCGCCCACCCCTTCCCCCACCCGTGACCCCCCTCCCTCCACCTGTGACCCTCCGCCCACCCACCCATGACCCTCCTCCTCCGCCCACCCCCCCACCCACCCATGACCCCCCCCCACCCGTGACTCCACCTCCCCCCACCCGTGACCCCCACCCCTCCACGGGTGACCACGTGACCCGACACGAGAGCGCACGCGCGCGCGCGCGACCGCCACCGACCGATCGCGAAAGATTCGGCAGCAATTAAAAGAAAGTTCGCGCGTTTAAACGTTACGAATACAGTATATAATAACAATATCAGCAAACACGCTAATAATAGTCATGCAATATTACTGTCGTAGTAAGTAGCAGTAATCGACAGCTGTCCTGATTAATTGACATGTTTTTTTTTGTTGAGGGATAAAACACACCCATATTTATACGTTTGAAATTTTAAAACAAAAATTATAATCGCAGGTGCGAGCGTAAGCTAAAGGCGTTTGTGAGGTAAATATATATCTTGCCAAAATGAGCAGCGGTTACAGCAGCCTGGACGACGATGTGGAGATGGAGCAATTCTTCACCGCGAAGCCTACATTCATACAGCGAGCAAGGAATCGCTTCATCTTGGAAAAGGTTAAACATTTAATTTTTTAAAAACACACAACCACCCACCGCTTATTCACAGCACATTTAACTCAACGACTTGTCTTGATTTTTTTTTAAACAAAAAAATAATGTGTGCGTGGAGACTTTAAAGTGCGGCCAATGGGACGCGATTAGTGGTAATCCACTTTGGTTATTTCGGTAAAAGTCAAAGATTCCTGCAGTCACGAAAGCTTCAAATCAAGATTGTTGTAATAATTTGCCCGTGGAACGGAACGCTTCCGAAGCGATGCGAGACGGAGCGATGGGTTGGATCGTTACATCGTGAGACAGGAGTGGATTGTTGTGATCATTGTTGACGATCACCAACACTAAATTTTGTCATTTAAAGCTTTCGTGATTGCAGGGATTCATATTTTTTGGTTCTTTCTGTAAAGTCACGTAGAAGGGAAACAATAAAATAATAAAAATATAAAGCAATAAAATTCTCACGACGTTTCGACTGCAACACCTGATGATGATTGCTTGTGTTGCTGTCGATACGTCGTGAGAATTGTATTGTTTTATCGTATTTTATTGTTTCCCTTCCACGTGGCTTTACCGAAAGAACCAAGAATATGATCACGAACACTGTTAAAGACCCTTCCTTGCCTTTTAACCGCTCAATCTTGTATTGGGGAAGGGCACTCGGCCGAAACGTCGGGGGATAACTTTCTCGGCAAGAGTAAATAACTACATTCAATTACCACTGCTTTTTATTAATATCCGCTATTGATCGGTGTATTATGAGATAATAGTTTGAAGCCGTTTGTCGATCCACTGCTGGATAAAGGTCTCCAGGGACGTGGTTGTTTGACCATACTTCACCACGCCGGTTCAGTGCGGGTTTTGGTGAAGGTCGGTCTCGCATTTCACTCGCCACTGATGTTAGCCGTGGCAGGGACGCGAACTAAGGTCGCCCCGTTCACACGACAGCATCGACGACATTCCCTTGCAATGCAATGTCTTGTGTGTATTTCTATTGTACAGTATTTGTGTACCCTTAACTAAATTGTAAAACGTTTCTATATTTTTTCAACAATTCGATCAAATACTATTGGTCACGTTTTAACTGAATTTATTCATTATTAACCATGCGTTACGTAACCGACAAAAGCCTGAAGTGTAAAATGTACCCAGAAACTCAGTTATTACATAATAAATAATAAGGCTTCTGTGGTGGCGACGTTGTGGGCAGCAGAGGACAGCGCAGCAAAAACATCGTATTTTTTGTACTGTACTTCTATGCTACCGACAGCTACGCTCCCAACCTGCACCGACCAGCGTGGGTCATTTATGGTTAAATAACATCCACGTGGGTGAATTGTGGTTAAATAACACCCACGTGGGTGAATTGTGGTTAAATAACATGCACGTGGGTGAATTGTGGTTAAATCACACGCACGTTGGTGAATTGTGGTTAAATAACATCCACGTGGGTGAATTGTGGTTAAATAACACGCACGTTGGTGAATTGTGGTTAAATAACATCCACGTGGGTGAATTGTGGTTAAATAACACGCACGTTGATGAATTGTGGTTAAATAACATCCACGTGGGTGAATTATGGTTAAATAACACGCACGTTGGTGAATTGTGGTTAAATAACATCCACGTGGGTGAATTGTGGTTAAATAACACGCACGTGAGTGAATTGTGGCTAATTAACATCCACGTGGGTGAATTGTGGTTAAATAACACGCACGTGGGTGAATTGTGGCTAAATAACACGCACGTGGGTGAATTGCGGTTAAATAACACGCACGTTGGTGAATTGTGGTTAAATAACAACCACGTGGGTGAATTGTGGTTAAATAACACGCACGTGGGTGAATTGTGGTTAAATAACATCCACGTTGGTGAAGTATGGTTAAGTAACACCCACGACCCAGGGAGGACCTCATCCAGCAGTGGATTGACAAAATATATGTACGGTACGTGTGCAAACTAGACAGAAAATAATCGATTCGTGAATCGCATCGTGTAAATTCATTGTATCATGGGTGGCGTTTTTACTCATTAGCCATCATCAACGCAGCTCATCATCGCTATGGGGATAACTAAATTGAGTACCACTTTGTTCACTTACCTAGGAATGCCTTGCATGTATACACCGAATAATCTAAAGTTACTGGATTGCTATTTGTATGTATACGTGTGTGTGCGTGAGTGCATTTAGTGTTGAGGGTTGATAAGGGGAAGAAGTTCGTGCAAAACTGCTGACCACAGTGCCACATTATCAGTACCCTGCACACTTGCTTTGAGGCCAGATACAGTTCTATTTTGAAATAGTGAAATTCCCGATAATGGTGAAATACCAGGAAGCCAAGAACACACGAAACCCCCCTAAAAAAAAACCTCGCTTAAACGTAAAAAGCCATCCCCCTAAGAAATGCGAATTTGTAACATTCGTCAAAACGGGACCATTTCTAAAGCATAGTTAGCGGTTAAACGGAAGGAAATAAATCATCGGGATTACGTACAGGCACCTTTGCAATCATTGCGGGCACTGAAACACTGTGACCCTCACGATGAGCGAGTAGCAGCGATTCGTTTAACACGTATCCTTTCGCGACCACAAATCTGGCTGTCACATGATGATGCTCGTTGCAATTACTGGCGAAACTTCGTACTCGAATTGTAAAGGTTGTGGATTCACTCTCCAACACACCGGTGTGCTGCACTAGTAACGAATTGGCGTGTTCTGTTTCCTTGGCAAACCTTACTTATTGGCTGTCGGGTGGTGGTGGGTTTAATGACACATTTATGCGATCTAACCCAAAAAAACACTTTTTTGGAGCAGCGAATACTTAAACCAGCGTACGCATAAAATACTTAAGTCGATTTTTTTCCACTCACAAGCACGCGTTCATCCACAACCCGTATAATCTGTCAACGGATAATCCAGAGTCGACTGACTTGTCTTGTAATTTTTATGAGAAGAACCTAAATCCATTCGGTCACCACATTCATTAGCCTGTTCTTTTTTTGGCTTTCCAGATGAGTATTATCCAGCAGGGTTTGTTGTTGTAAGCAAGTAACCTTGAAACCGGTCCAGAGTTTGCTTTTGCTTAATCCATTGCTACCGGGTGATATTACTGTGTAAGTGGAGATTCAAAAGAAGACTTCTGCGTATGTACAGTCCCAGTATATGCTTTCATCCGTCTAGTTCTCCACAGAAACGCGTCGCGAGTTTTATTTCAGTTTTTTATGCAGATCAATTAATTATAGATTCACATGTTGACAAAGTGGATATAACACTTCGCCTTGGGTGATCTGCTCTGTCGTTGGTGGTGGAGGTATTGTCATTTTCACGAAATCTTGGATGTCATGGGAAAATATTTAACAAAGTGAGAATTCCAGAATTAAATTTTGGCGTGGGACACCTGGATGATTGTAGTGACACTGTTAGAGGAAGAGGTGTTATGTTTTTTTGTGTTCCAGTTCTGGTTAATTCAGTTATAGGTCATTCACAATACTTAATATCTGCTATGGATTATGGGTAATGAAATAATAAACACACAATTATTTATTTCATGTTGAACCCGGTGGCCTGTTCAATGAGTGTTGCTGAGAGTTGCCTGGTGTTAAGAGCTCGCCACTTACCCTTTGGGAGGATTCCATTCAGAGCAGCATTGTTAGAGTCTGTTCTCCTGTAACGTGGTACAGTAGTTGCGTTCCTGAAGAACACCGCGTTATGGAAAATTCGCGTTAGAATAAACACGTGAAATGCATATGCAGACCTGAACAAAGAATCAGAGGCGCGTTGGCAGCATCTAGAAGCATCCAGCAGCTTCCCACCTTGTGCGATGCTTCGCCGAGGCAGCCGCTTATTACTACTCCCGCAACGTAGTTCTGTTCACTTAATCGCCTTATATCCAATTCGCAACAGCGTTATAAAAAAAAAATGCGTTCCCTAACACATTATATCTAATTCGCATTATGAAAACACGCGTTACAGGAGAACAGACGTTATTGTACTCAGACGATTTTAGACAATGGAACAAGAATGAAACCTTGATGATCAGCAGTGATGAGCAACAGTCCTTGTGGCTGCCGAGCCAGCAAAAGGCAGCTGCTACGGTGGGTGTCAAGGGAGTGTCCGGACACCCCTTGTATTTTGATATAGCTAAGACGCCCCGCAAAAAATATTTAAATATGATGAAGAAACACTCACAGAAATTTTTTTTAGATATGGCTATGAGACACCACAAAATGTTTGACAAAATCCTGATATTTTAGTTTTTTTTTCTGTTCAACAAGATGACAAATGCTGATTACGCAAATGATGAAAAATGTAAATACACAGAAGTGAGTTAACATTAAGCTTAGTGCCGAGATATAAGCCAGTAGTTGCGTATATTTAACATACAGTACCGTAATTATTTGCAGTAGAACTCTTATCCGTGACGAAGTTTGGGGTGGGGGTAGTGAACTCAGCGGTTCCTGTTTGCAATCTACCCAATAACTACCCGGGAACCATTCTAAACTAAACATTTTTTTTTACCAGCTATATAGCTCTTTTTCAGAAGCGACCTGGTCACAAGTGATAGCTCAACGAAGTGGCTTATCACGTGGAAATGTATAGCAGGCAAAAACTCTGAACGCATGTTGATTATAAATGTGGAGGGAAGAAACCGGAGGACCCGGAGAAAAATCTACGTGACCACGGGGAGAACATGCGAACTCCAAATATACAGCAGCAGGCGTCAGGGTCGGGATCGAACCCATGACCTCCTTGCATACCAGACAAGGTAGTTTACATATCCTAGCAAACGTGATAATGATGAGAGAGAGAGAGAGACAGACACCACAAACTCCAAATATACAGCAGCAGGCGTCAGGTTCGTGATCGAACCGACGACCTCCTGTATACCTGGCGAGGTAGTTAACATCTCGCCGCAGTGTCGATTTTCACCAGTAGGGCACTCACTTCCACATTGTGTCTGCTGCACCCTCAGCCACCCAGCCCGGCTCCAATTAAAACGCAACAAGACACTCGTAGGTGCAAGGGGTTATGAAAAGCATTACGTCCGTGGAACATGTCAGCTGTCGAGTCGACCGTTGGGACCGAGAGGAGCGAAATGTTTGTGCACAAATTGAGTCATGGCCACATAATTGGAATTGATTTAATTGGCGTTTGGCAGATCTCTGCAGAATGATCCGTAAAGAGCCGCCGATCGTAGTTCGACATCGGTCCCTGCGGTCGTTTGTCATGACGGGAGCGGTCATAGGATTGTGGACGCAGCCTTAATTACCCACCCAATGTGTTTATATTGCACAGCTACAGCCCCGTTCGTCAGTCCACTCCTGGGTGAGGGCCTCCCCATGCCCTGTGGCTTGTGGGAGTTACTTCACCATCATTTGACAGTTTGGGGGGACCGTCCAGCAGTGAATTGATCATAGCTTACACACGTGTGCATGTATGTGTATACAGCGAGCCTTCGACGCTTCACGTGGCCTCAAAGTGCACCTGGCCTGGCACAGGCGCCGTGGTGACGTCACAATCACTCAGTGGTGAATGGCGGGTATTTGTATACAGTTGTTCACACAGTAACACAGTATGTATGGCCCTTTATGTGGATGGTTTTGACCACACGTCCACGTCTGTTTCAGTGCAGGTTGGTGAAGGTGGGTGGCATAGACCTTAGGAGCATAAAAATACAGTGCAGTAGTAATGTATATTGCTGTAAAGCACTCTGTTGCCTATCACGTAGTCCCACATCAGCCTATTACACCTGGTTTATGCATTGTGATTCCCCCTACAGATACTGTCTTGTCTCAATCCTGCTTTATGCGTCAGTTGGTCATATTCGTGTTTTTATGAGCAAAGAACACAGTAAAAACAATTCAAAGGTGCTGTAATCTGTAAAGATTGTAAATAATAATTTCAGTTGTACTTTAGCATCATCCATAATAGAGGTTTTTCTTGTTATCATTTGTGCAGATCATCATCTTTATCATCAGCACCCATAGTCGATCCATTGCTGGATCAAAGCCAGGACAAATATAAACCACAGTGAAATGTTTCAAAAGTACATATATTTTAATTTACAGTTATTAAGAACGATTGTGGGTTTATTTCGTGTCATTTCAGCATTTGGGCAGATCATCATCAGCCATGATCAATCCACTGCTGGTCGAATGTCTTTTTTCCCACGTCTTCTCTATCATCCCTCACGATCTTACGGTGCCCACAATCCATTTCGCTTCTGCGCATGAGCCAATGTCATCGCTCTGCAGTTATTATGCGGTGCCTGTTAATGGATAATGTTCGCATCGATTCGTGCAAATGGATATCCTGAACGCACCATCACGCTTTAGAGATTGTTACAGTGGCCGATTACACAATGCAAGGGTTTTATTGTTGCTTAGCTGTACATAAGGGGCCGTCCATAAATGACGTCACGCACCTAATGGGGGGGGGAGGGGGTCAGACATTTGTGACGAGGGGGGGGGGTTTGAGAAATGTGACGTCACATCAAAATGCGCAACCTTAAATAAATATCGACAACACGTTCTACTTAATTAAATATACTTTTTAATAAATGTTTTCTCCTACAACTTTAGAGTGCAGCACCACATTAAATACACACTATAATGACAATAGTTTAAAGCGATTTGAAGCATGTTTTATTTTCAAAATGGAAATACGGTTTAGGGGGGGGGGGGGGAGCAGAGCTTTGTGACGTCATATTTGAGGGGGGTCTGACAAAATTTTGTGACGCCGTGTGACGAGGGGGGGGGGGGGGTAAAAAATCGTCCAAAATCGCGTGGCGTCATTTATGGACGGCCCCTAAGCCAATGTTCACGGTATCTTAGCAAAGGCCCACAGTGCGACGCGGCCAGCAACAATCAGCAGTATGAAGCTGTGATAGATTAAAACTAGTATGTTTCTTGAATTGAACACGTTTGTAATAAATTTGGTAAAGAGACGGTGATACAAACGTGAGCATTGCGAGGACAGTAGCAGGGAAATAAGTGTCTTGTCTTGCAGTATGGTAGTGAAACAATGCGGATGGGACACAACCGGCACTCAGTCTGGTCGACTGAAACTACGTATGCACGTTGAACTTCTTTCGCACCGTACGTAGCCAACCGTGCTAATCGGACGTGCGGTGGAAGGACGACAAACTTCACACGCAAAACAGTTCTAAATAAATTAGTTTTCAATCTATATTTAAAAGTATCTCAAATACGGGTAGAGGACTCAATTGTGTGGTGAAGTTCATGGGAACAGTAGCCATGGTAATATCGATACAAGAGTGAAAAGGAGAGAAGTGACTGCCTGGTGAGTGAGTGACTGGAGTGAATGGGCGAGCGCTGTTTTGCAGCCAGTATAACCAGTTTCGGCAAAAAGCTAAATCCTCTGTGTTTGAAGAGAGGTAATTTGTAAATATTAAATAATACGGAAACATCACAACAATTGTCCAGACATGAGAAAGCGTTTACAACCCACCAGCTGTGCCAAGGCCACCCCCATCAAGTGGCTACATCAGAGAAGCATTGAAGAGAAGCTCACGGTCCTTTTAAAGACCGCTGTGTGATATTGTCTTGGCAGAGCTGTAAATCGCCCATTCGCGGGACGGGTTGGAATTCCGACAAAGCCATTTCAGCAGCGATCATCGCCAGCCATGATCACTCCACTCTGGGATGATGATTCTCCCCAGATGGATAGCAGATCTGGGAGCGTAGATGTACAATAAAGCAACATTGTTTTTCTGCATTGCCATCAGCAGCCCACAACAAAAGCAGCAATGATCAGATGGTTTAAATTATTTCTAGCCTCAAGACTTAAAAATAACTGGTTATAGCAATGCAGAGTGCATGGAGAGTACTTTTGATGTTTAACACCGTGTTGCATTATTATTTTTGTAAATATATAGATTATTACTCTGGAATGTACGCCCCTTTGGTATTATTACTTTGATTGCGAAATATGTAGTGAGGTTGTTGCCTAAAATGTGTGGCGCTTTTCAGCAGCGTTAACGCCGCACAACTCAACCAGAGTGGCCACTTTTTAAATTTCTGCCTTTGTCACCCTCACCGTTGTCCTCCAGCGACGTTGTGGAGGACTAATGGCTGTTGCCATTCCCTGACGATTCATTTGTCTCTCGCTCTACTCTATCGACAAAGTGACCGGGTCCATTAAGATGCATCCACGGGAATTCCCGCCGGGTTAATTGATTTATTTTCCCTCGTCAAGCTTCGGCGCTGAACCTTGAAAGCCAATTGTCGTCTTGCGGGATCGGCACAGGAACTTCATCGTGGCTGCTCCATCGCACAATAAATTGGATTATTTCTCCGATGTGTTTTTGGGTTGTACGGCGCGTTACTTGTCACGATATCTGACGTTTCGTTCCACGTGCCGGCAGCTTCAGGAAGTAAATGCAATTAACCAAATCGCAATGGGGCACGGGGTTGCGAACCATCGCAACCCCTGAGGAGAGCCCCTGCGACTTGCAGACTTTAAGTTGCGTGAGCCTCCGTTAGCAGCACTGTGCTGTCTTCGGGAAATGTTTATCTGATCACAGTATTTATGCAGTGTTCCGGGAAGCATGCGCGAGGCTATATTTGGTCCGATAACTTCTGATTGAAACATGTATAGCCATATTAGGTGTGCAAAAAGCACGTGTGGCAGCAACTCCACATGGAGCTAGAGATGTGTTTTTTTTTGTCTGGGTGCTTTCCAAGCAGAACATTCAAAACAGAAGTGCAACATACGGCAATTTTTTTGTTTAACACGTAGGTTTTCGTGACCAATATCCATAATACAGGTATTTTTGGGTTAGATCGCGTAAATATGAATGTGTTGTTATACTGGCCACCACCCGATAAATGTTGTGGTTTTACTCTCCAATACACCGGTGTGCTGTACTTGTAACGAATTGGCATGTTCTGTTTACGTGACAAACCTTGCTAATTGGCTGTGTCAGGTGGTTGCGGGTTTAACGACACGTTTATATTTACACGATCTAACCCAAAAAAACGATATTATAGAGCTATTTTTTGTCCCCTGTTATTGTTTTGGTAGTGTTTTTTTCCAGAATATATATTGTTCAATACATTCATGTTTTTTTTTTAATTTAAAATGTATGGCCCGTGAATCCACTGTTAGATGAGAGCCTCCCCATGTTACGGGGGATGGGAAGATGACTTCACCATGCTGGTCAGTGCGGGTTGGTTGAAGGCAGGAGGCATAGACGCCGGAGCATAGAAGTTCGGTACAATGATGGATTTTTCCGTACTGCCCACCACGTAGTACGGCGCCGCAACCGCCTATAAGAAAGTGGCATGCAAGGCGGTCAACTGTCTAACTTCGCTTCGGAGATCGGGCACATTTTGGGTGATCTAGTCATAACCACCGAGTGTTGTACCGTAGTCTAAATAAAATAGGTATGACTTAACTAAAACAATGTTTATTTTATTTTACCAGGTAAGGCCCACTGAGCTATATAGCGGTTTTTCAGAAGCTACTTGGCCACAAAAGGATAGTGCAACCATGTGGCGTCGCATGGGGAAATGTGTAGCAGCCAAATACTCTAAACGCTTGTTGACTTTAAATGTGGAGGGGGAAAACCGGAGGACCCGGAGAAAAATCAACACGACCACGGCGAGAACATGCAAACTTCAAATATACAGGTGTCAGGGTTGGGATCGAGCCCACGACCTCCTGCATACCAGGTGAGGTAGTTAACACCACGGCGGCTTAATGATGTAAAGCCACCTGTGATTTACTCTGGGATTGTCTTTGCAGCAGGACAGCAAGAAGGTAATTGAGGAAGTGTCAGAGAAAACCTCCACGTGCGGCGTGGACCTGAAAGCGAAGATCTCCGAATTCAACAGCCAAGTGGACAATGGCATGGTCATTACACTGGTGAGGGCGCACAGCATCAGCAGTGAGCTGTGGGCTCTTCAGCTAATGCCACATATTTAGATTAAATGTCACGATTTGTGGTTTCGATTCAATTACATTATTCATTTGTGAACACATACCATACATATACGCCCGTGTTTGTCAATGCACTGCTGGATGAGGACCTGGCCACATCATGCGGGTCGTGGGGGTTGTTTAGCCACACGTCAACATGTTAATTGGTGCGGGTCGGCAAACGCGTAGACATGGGACAGTAGAATCAACACTGGATTTTCCTGCACTGCCTTCAGCTCACAGTCACTTGTTGTCCATGGTGGTCACCCATCCCAATCACTATACAGGCTCAAACCTGCTTAGATGATGAGATCTGATAAGATATTGTGCATATCGGGTGATTTGTTCTTAGACATGTACTTTGTGTATTTATTTATACAGTATGCATGTGACGATATGTCGGTGATTTAAAATCGATTGTTACGCTGGCAAAACCTGTCGATTCGGCCCTGAGCCAGTGGTGACAATTTCATATTCCTATATAGCTAGCTCGGGTATACATTTTATCGGCCCCTGCGATTGATGGGCCGAGTTGACGCTCGATTTTTGTCACGTGTGTGTACATGCGCGAATGCGTGCTTACGTGTGCGCGCACACAGCAAGCCGACGACTCCTACACGGGCTTCATCCGCGTGCACATGTCTCTATCGCGTCCCATCTCGGTGGAGAGCGGCAAGCGGCCGCCCTCCATCTACGAGGCGCTGCGGAGTGGCGCGGGCGCCGGCGGCGCCGCCGGCGGCGGCGGCGGCGGCGGCGCGACGGCGTCTTCGCTGTCGGTCAGTGCGGGCCTGCGGCGGCGCACGTCCTTCTACCTGCCGCACGACGCGGTGAAGCAGCTGCACGTAAGCAGCGCCACGACGGCGCGCGAGGTGATCGAGGCACTGCTGCGCAAGTTCATGGTGCTCGACAGCCCCCGCAAGTTCGCTATCTTCCAGAGGTGCGAGAGCAACGGGCAAGGTAGGGTCACGCGTGGGTGTTCACGGGTAATAATATTTCCTCCTAATTGACTTTTGACCGAGGACACGTAAAGATCTGGCTTAATGCAGTTTCAAGCGGAACGTCGGATTTAATTGCGACATTTGGTTGTGAGAATTATTCTTCATCTTGCCAGTGAGCTGAAAAAAACAATAACTGGTACGTTTATAAACTCTTCTAAACGTGACATTGTAATTTGTTTGGCTATGTCAGGTGGTGGAGGGTCTTTTGTCACAGGTTTAGCCAGATAATTACGTGACCTAACCCAAAAATCTCCTATGAAGGAGGGTTATGGACGTGTGCCGGTGTGAGCCGGACCTGGTTGCCCTTGTGAGTCGGTTTATGTTCGTCTGTAGCCACGTGTATCATGTTGCTGTCTGGTCTGTTGCTCTACATGTGCAGCTCCTGGTCTTCTCGGCCACAGTTTATACATTCACTTCAGTTACAGTAACGTCGACATACACATCATAATAAGAAAGAGAAACACGTGGATCAACAAACACAAATTAGAGACAGCTTATTGCCTAACAAGGACCTCATCAGAGATCCATCTATCCAGATTCCTGGCTTCGACCTCCCAAGGCGCCAGCGGGGCTTCAGTGGCACCGCTTCCGGTGTGACCAGGGGGTGTGTGCCGCTTCCGAACGTCGATGGGGCGTGCTACGCGACAGCCCGCCGTGTGAATGCGGGGAGCAGGAGACCGTGGCGCATACCGTCTCCGGATGTGAAGTCCGTCAGGGTGTGCCGGGTGGACTCATTGCCCTGCACGTGCTTGAGGAGGAGGCTGTCGCATGGCTCTGTCGCACTACGTGGGCTGATGTCCTCTCACAATATAACATTGACATGCATATGGCGCGCATTATTTAATTATTTTCCTTGTGTATCTGGTGTCCGAAACTGTGTAAAATTCATTCGCTAAATAAATATTGGCAAAAATAAGTCGCCAGTTACATATGGACGGTGAAGCAAAGTAAGGGGGCTTGGGCAAGATGCATCATGGGCATGAGAGACGATGGCTGACGAAACTGGTGACGGGAGTGGCAGCTAAAGGAGGGAATAAACCGGACATCGAGACGGAGCGATGAGATCAGCTTGTACATATGTATGTTGAACTTCTTTTGCAGCGTACGTAGCCAACCGGGCTGATCGGAGATTGGCAACAATCCATCTAGCTCTTGCGTGCAAGAGTTCGATGGATTGCTGCAACACCGAGATCGTGAGGGATAGAAATTACTTGGGGAGGCTTTCATCCAGCAGTGGTAGACTGGATGATGATGATAACGATAACGAAACACGGCGATTGAATTGGTAGATACACAACAAAAACAACTTGAAATTAATTAGCCTGAAAATACAACCGCTGTTAACTTTCTGCAAAGTCGTCACATTGTTATATTTTATCATGGAGGGATCGAAAGTTATTTACATCCACAACTGGGGCTTGAACTTGCAAACTTCTGATTGTGAGTTAAGCGCTCTAACCACTACACCAACAAAGCCACTGATATTTTATCGTGGTTGTTTATCGAGAAAAGCCTCGGCTCTGTCCAACGAATTTTTAAGAAAAGTGCTGCTGTGAGATGTTTGGACAATTGTTGATTATGGTAAAAGGTAATGGTGCATCCGTGCATTTTCATGTTCACGTTACCGTTTGGCGGAAGGGTCTCCACTTGAGAGAAGCTATAGACAGCCCATCTAGAGGATATTTTGGCATATTCTTCCACATCGGCCAGACGTATCGGTAGAGATGGGAGCACCCACACTTTACCCCAGCATACGCAACCTGCCGATAGCCTAATTGTGGTATAATCATTCATACTGCTTGGTGTACTGAGGCGGGGGTGGATTTAATAAACTTGCTCCACCGTGTCTAACTGCCGTGTCGGGAGATCAGACCTAACCAGTGACCTCTGGATAACAAGTCCAGGTGCACTGGCAGCATCCCTTGATAAAAGTACAACGTCGCATGTCTGAATCGCTGGGGGATGAGGTGGATATGTGAAAAGGTCAGATATGTGAACATCTGTACAGTATGACACCGTGCACAAATAGGTTTCTGGACAAATATATAAAGCGCGCGTTGCCTTAAACATGGGAAAAGGCTTTAATTGTGCTTGAGAAGGCAGTGAATTCACGCGAGATCGAGAACACATTACTGCGTGTGACAAGGTCAGAATTGCGAACAAATAGAACGTGACAGTTACGCCGTGCACAAATCCTGCCCTGTGTTGGCGGTTAATTGGTTAAGTTGACATTGCACTTTAGTTTACTCTGTACAGAAAGAAAAGGGCATATCACTGTGAAAACCCCACTCATGTGAGGCGATAAACGTTACATTATTTGTGTAAAAAAATATTACAATGGCTGCTCACTTTTTATACTGTAGCATTGTGAGCACCGTGTATCTTAAATTAAGTTCCTGTTGTGGTTAAGCTGTGTTCCTCTTGCCAGCACCATGGCGACTGGAAGCAAATACGTCGATGATTTGTTCTTGTATGGACTGTATAAGACAAAGATCATTTGTATAGCCTACACAGGCCATTGGGGCAAGTGCTGTTAGCGAGCGCCTAATGAAGGCCAGCATGATGCATAAAGGGTTAGTTTGGCGAGCACGACACCTGGCTGTCTTTGCCTGTCTAGTGATGTTTAAACACCGCACAAGGTACTCAAACATTTAAGTTTGAGTCGACCTAGGGAAGGCTCAGAGTTGGTTCAGATAATCACCATCATGATGTTAGCCACGAAATTGAACTCAGGCTACCGGGTTTGTGGTGATAGCAACACAAGCCATCGTCATCAGGTGAAACAACACAGCAAGGCGGACTGCTGAGGCAGGAGGAAATGTAGCGAGAGAGGCACCGCAACGAGAGGCCACACACGCCTCTGGTGGGCACAACCCAAGGGTAAGTGGTCGGGGCTAGGGATGTAAGTTTGCTAAGTTTGATATCTTTATTCTCTCTATCTCCTTGTTCCCTCTGTAAATTTCACCCCACCCTCTCGCCCATTGCGGCGTCCCCTCCCCTCCCTCCCCCACGGATTGGCCGAGGTGTGCGAGCTCTGCGATCCTGCATTTACTTGCGACTTCCATCCCTAGCCCCGCCCACTTGCCCTTGGGTTGTGCCCACCACAGGCGTGTGTGGCCTCTCGTTGCGGTGCCTCTCTCGCGACAAATCCTCCTGCCTCAGCAGTCCGCCTCCTGTGTTGTTTCGCCTGAAGACAATGGCTTGTGTTGCTATCGAAACGTCGTGATTTATTAGTTATTTTTCTATCTACATGACTTTACCGAAAGAACCAAATAGTATATTCTTAGTTCTTTCGGTAAAGTCACGTTGAAGGGAAACAATAAAATAATAAAATATATAAACCAATAACAATTCTCACGACGTTTCGACCATAACACAAACGGTCGTCATCAGGTGTGTCGGTTTGCATAAATTTATTTATTTTTAAACGGTGTATTTATAAAAAACGTTAGCGCCACGCGCAGCGATTTGGCAGTTTATTTAGAAGGACTAGTCCATCTGTGTTCTGAAAAGAGGAGGGGGGAGACGAAAAATTTAATGTATGCTGTCTGAAAGCCACTGTAAGCATGAATAATCAATTAAGACCTGAAATGGTTTATCAAATCTTTCCAATGATTGCTAAGCCAGAATCCAAAACCAAAGAGTATGAATTTCTGCAGTCACGAAAGCTTCAAAGCAAGATTGATGACATACACTGTTTATAAAGTATTGCACAAATGTGTGACTAATGTTGTATAGGCTATAAAGTTGGGAAGATATACATTGGGACATATGCTGTTCTTGTTTACGCTAAGGAAACATTACTCAATCACTTCCAGTCAGGGTTTCATCATTCACTACTGGGCACAGGCCCAGTAGGCCCAAAATATGCCCCGTGGCGAACATCCCCCACTCTCTTGAGGTGCTATGGATAAGAGTTACTAGGTTTCTTGAACAAGGTTATTAGAACTTTGCAAAATAAAGGGAGGGAATTCCAAAGTGGATCGGTGCCAGGGAGGTAGCAGAAAGAGAAGTGAGGTGACCTGCAGTCGGTGGGGGTGAGTGAGTGGGTGAGTGATTGCGTGAGTGGTTGAGTTTGTGTTGTTGTGACCTGCAGTGTGGTAGTTGAACACAGTATCAAGCCCTCAACGTGGGTGGAGGAATCAATAAGTGAAGTTTATGATAATAGTAACCATGAGAGTAGTGATAGAAAACATATTTATCATACTACACCACGCCGGACGAAACTGGTGACGGGAGTGAGAGCCAAAGCAGGGAATGCACTGGAGACCGAGAGGCAAGTCGCCACGGAGATGGAGCGATGAAATCAGCTTGTATTTATGTACGTTGAACTTCTTTCGCACCGTACGTAGCCAACCGTGCTAATCGGAGGTGAGCTTGTAGCGCAGCGTGCGAGCCTGTGCACCGCCACTCCTTCCTTCAGTCCCATAAAATCTTCTGCCATGGTAAATCCACATGCTGGATTAAGGAGCCGAGTCATCGCAATCTCTCACGGTGTATACGATTCGCATAAATCAATTGGTTGATGTTTTCGTGCATAATAGGCCTGGCGTGATTCTCTCTGTTTTAGTTTGATAAATAATGTTGTGATTCAGTCACAATTCAGAATCAGAATATTTATTTATACTGGAGGAATCCGATGAGCTATGAAGCTATTTTTCACAGACGTTCAGTAGGGGGCGGGTAACAACGTTACAACAACAAATACTCAACTGAAATATTTTTTTTCATTTTACCAAGTAAAGCCCACTGAGCTATATAGCTCTTTTTCATAAGCGACCTGGCCACAAATAATGGCTCAATGAAGTGGTTTCTCGTGTAGAAACGTTTTTTAGCCAAATACTCTAAATGCATGTTTCTAAAATGTGGAAGTAAACCCTGTGGAGAACATGCAAATACCAAATATACAGCAGGCGTCAGGGTTGGTGATTGAACCCACAACTTCCTGTATACCAGGCGAGGTATTTAAGATCTCGCCACTGTGGCCAAAAATATGATAGTACTGAAATTCAATTTAAGAATCCACTACTGTATCCAGTATACATTTAGGTAAATGTAGCACCTATAGTAACAACAGGTATTAATTAGGTGAACCATATTTGCCTCTATGATTCTGAACAGTTGATTTTTGCACGGCGCCAATCTGAGCCTCTATCTTGTGGAATCACTCAATGTCGTTGTTTTCCCTAATTCTAACCCAGTTGTGTTATTGGCTTTACTCATGGGATGATTAATCCATTCAGACCTCTCGCACAGCAGTACATCAATCTGTGTTGTAGAATGGCCCCTGGGAGGAGATATCGCATAACTACTGGAACCTCTTCAAATGACCTCTTGTCCACACCTCTTAACCACGGTGGCAATTTCCCACCCACCGTTGCGACAGAGAAAAATGTTCATCGCATCGGAGTGAAACCAATATTTTAATTGAAATATATTCAACTAAAACTAAACGTTTGTTTATTGTGTCTGGTTATTGGTGACCAGGCTGAGATCACCAAAACTTGGTTGTATCACGGGCAGCTGAAAGTCAGATTCGAGCCCAGGAAATCGGAGGTGTGCCGCTCAAACGATATGACCTTGTGGGAAGCCTTTGTCCAGCAGTGTATTGAGTATGGCTCATGATTAATGATGACGAATCAATGATAAGTTGCATGTTTCTTGCCCGATGCCTTGTATGTGCAGCCGGCTGCACACAAAACACTGCTGTTAATCTGCTCTGTGAAAGGCGTCTTGTGCCACTTTATCTGCGGAGAGATCTGCGGCCTCCCATTTACGTTTCCTTCTGCCTCTCCCCCGCCCAGCCTCGTCCACCCACAGCCTCGTTTTATTTTCCAAAGGTTTCACGTACCGCATGTGCGGACGGCACCACGCGTTGCAATGTGTTGGACGGAGGCAGCCGGTTCTGTTATATTTTACGACTCGGAGAAAGGTTACAGCTCCGCCGGTATAAACCGCCAAGTACACTAAACAGAGTCAACGATTTATGCTGTTTGTGTTTGGCATTGCTGGCGCATGGGCTCACAGGCTACGGGTTACGTCTGATGCTGCTGGTGGTGGTGGTGGTGGGTAGCGTAGCGGTTAACGCGCTGTGCTACGAACCCGGCCACCCGAGTTCGATTTACGCTCACAGCCAACACCAGTGACAATTATCTGAACCGGTCAGCCTCAAATGAGTACCTCGTGCGATGTGTGAACATTGGCACTTGGGTAGACAAAGGTGGCCCGGCGTGGTCCTGGCCACCCACCCACTCGTGTGCCGTGCCGGCCTTCATAGGCGCTCGCGAACAGCACTTGCCCCAACGGTATGTTAAGGCTACACGGGGGATCTTTGTCTTTGGTGGGTCTGTCTGGTAGTAGATCACGACTCATACTTTTTTTCCCAGTCTGCAACCGAGCCACGCTGGAGCCGTGCCGAGCCAGGCAGGTGCGGCTCAAGAGGCGTGCGGTTGTTTTTCCACTGCAGGAGCCGAGCCGTTGCGATGACGTCACGGGCAACGAACACGTTGAATCGCATGTAGATGGTGTGGTGATGCTGTGTTTGGGTTATACTGAATTACATCATAATGCTTCATTAGTCCCCCCTCCACCTCTGGCCCTGATTGGCTCTGAGCGTGATTTAGATGTTTTAGTTTGATTCTGGCTCACCTCGGCAAATAGCCAGTAGAGAGAACACCCGTTGGTGTGGCTTGGATGTTTTGGTGTAAAAGGAATATTGATGCATCAGTATAGACAAGGGGTTGAGAACCAATGGTCCACTGGCCGTACCTAGCCTGCTATTCGGTATTAATATTTGCCCGTGGCCACATTGTCTACCACTTCGAAACAATGTTTATCCGTGACTTAAAGCATCTTAACCTCACCAATTGGGTACTAGAGGGGAATATCTTCGACCTGGCTACTTCTGTGTGTGTGTGCGTGCAGTCACCCTACGTAAGATGGCCGACACGGAGCACCCCCTCTACCTGAGGCTGATGTCAGGCCCCGACTGTGACGCCATGCGCTTCCTGCTCAAGGAGAACTTCAGCGAGGACGTTGAGGTGAGGCCTTCACGCCCTCCACCACAGCGCCATCGTTGCACCGCGGCGTCGTCTGAAAGGAGATGCGACGAAAGGGGGGAGCGGTAGAGTTGGGATGTGATGAAGGCACGCATGAGGGTGTCTCAGCAGCGGCTGGGGGGTGAGGAAATGGATGTGGGATATGTCACGTCCCATGGAAGTGTGATGTCCTCCCGCAGAGTTGAGATGTGGGAAGGGAGCAAGAGCTTGAGATCGGTTATTTTATGCACTTGTCGCCAGTGTCATGTCAGAGTGTAGGAGGTGCAAGATCAAGCTGGAGTCATTTACTTTTTACCAATGAGGAGGACTTCGGTTTTGGTGTCGTTTTATCCCCGTGTTTCATGATGCTATGTTGTTTAGCACGATTTCCGACGTTCTGCTCCACATTCTGGGAGTTCCTTTGATCTTGTAAGCTCCTGAAGATGGTCCCAACACTTGGAGCAAAACGTCGGACATCATGCCAAACAACACGCGGTACAACCCGAAAACGCTTCAGAGGGCTGTGCAGCACATCCACAAAAACCTGTGTAGTAATTATTTGGTGGCATTTTGCTCCTATAATCTCTTCAGCTAATTGAGTGGACAATCTTGTGCGCGCATGTGCATGTGTGTGCGTGTGAACGAGCAGTGGGATGCCTTTAGCCTTCCCGAGCTGCACAACTTCCTCAGAATCCTGGACAAGGAGGAGCGGAAACACGCCGAGGTTGTGAGCCGCAATTACGCTCGCTACCGGGACCGCCTGCGCACCACCCTGGCAGACAAGTTGCCCACCTAGGGGGGGCCGCCCCCCACCCCCGCCGCCCCCCTCCGCCGCCATCGTCGTCCCACACCGGCCTCGATCGTCCGCGCTTCACGTCAGCCGAGGAGAGCGACGTTCAGTTCAGTGGCCGTGAAGCTCCCGGCGGTCAACGATTCTGAGCCGTTCGAATGTTGTGGGCTTCGGCCACTCGACTACGACTCAGCCGGTGTTTTCAAGCGTAGTGAATCGATTGTCTCATCCCCGTTACCAATGACGGCACCAAAAAAAAATCATTGAATTTGGTTCTGCTAATTTAAGTTACTTTTTAGCTCTGGGGAATTAAAATATCGGTTTGACTTTTAGTCATGCGACGGACCTCTCGCGCTCGTTTGCAGAGTGTGTGTGTGTGGGAAAGTGCTGCCCTCTGCTGTATGGACCAGAGGCCATTTGAAGGATCTCAGAGGTGGCTCTGCAATATCTACTCCCATTCCACGGGCCGTCCCCTGACACGGCGGGTTGCACTCTGCTCTGGGAGAGTTCCGAGTGGATTTTTGGTCGATGGTGACTTGACGGCGGTCGCACAATGGGGATAACATCGGGGGGGAAATTACAAACATCGTGAGAGGAGACAAAAACAACAACAATGTAACAAAAGGAGTGGTCAACAAGGGTCAACGTGGAAGGTGGACTCTTGGTCCACCTTCCACGTTGTCTTTCTTGCGAAAGACAACTCCGCAGTGTGTGGGATATTTGGACTCGAAGCGCGGGGTTGTGTTTTGTTGAGCGATCAAACTGGCGTCGGCGTAGATTGTGATGACCAGGGCTCAACTTCTCAATGAGTGTTTTCCCAGGCCACACCGGTGGACTGGAGTAGATGGCTCGTTGTTATTCTTGTTGTCAGGCTGTACCTTCCCACTGTTGTGCAAATGCTTCCTGCTATTTTCTTCCATCCCTTCCCTTGGTTGCTCCTGTCCAGTAGTCGCCTCCCAAACTGCGTCGTCCCACTGCTTCCATCGCTTCCGCTGAATTTTGTCTGCTTCTCTTCCCGTGTCCGTCTCCACTCCGTGGTTGAGTTTCTTTAGCATCTCTCATCAGTTGTTCTCATTATGTGTCCTGCCCGTTTGCAATCGATTTATGATGCTTTAATAATGGCATAGGCAAACTGTTATTTTTCTTATTTCTTAATTTCTGAATACATTTGTTTTCCTTTTTGCCATGGAAAACTTGTTTTATTTACATGACTGATAGCCATAATGAGAGGTATACTGGATGTGGTGGTGCCTGCTTGTAGAATTAGTTGTCTGGGTTGCTGACCAGACAGGATCCGGCTGAAATTGCTGAGCGAATCAAACTTGGTGTTGACATCGATTGTGATGACCGGGGCTTAATTTCTCGGAATTAATATTTTTCCAGGCCACTGGTAAACAGGAATAGATTGTGATGCTCATAGTCTCAAGTCCTTCGCCGCAGTTGCGGTCACTCACTTGCACTAACATTTGTTATATTGTGGATGGTTGGGGCAAGAACATTTGAGTTTCTAAAAACATTTTTGGTTGGGAAACATACCCGAGAGTACATCCGCCGCGGAGATGGAGTCACTAAATCGGCTTGCGTGCAGGCGCACGATATGAACATCACAAGGGCATGAGAGATGGCGAAGGCTCAGGAAGGTCTCCATCAAGCGGCGGGTAGATCATTACCGTTGGTCATCGTGAGTCAGAATTGTTACACCCTGAGTTTCTGTTTCGCTCTTCCCTAGTTTGATGTTATTTAAATCGAGTGGTTGGCTGAATGTTACGTTGGCACTCCCGTCGCTTGCTCGCTTGACTGTTGTGAGTTTCTCCACTGTGAAATAAGCATGTGAATATTACAACTCCTTCAGACCTCTGAATTGAGTTTTCCCTCAACATTTTGGCTGGAGGTCAGCTAAGGTGCAATGGTGACCACTTATACCCATAGCACATTGGCACATCCGAGCAAAGCCATTAGAGGACCTTAAACGTCGTTTTTTTTATTCCGCACTGGCTATTTGCCAAGCCCTGTCAGATCTAAATCATGAAACTCTGGCCTCGCATTTCTGTTGAACCTCACTCAGGGGCCATGCAGGGCCAGCCAGCGGACTAGTTAATCATTTCCCTGATGCGTTGCCAAGACCAGTACACTTGGAACATGCGGCGGGCACGGATTTTGCAGTTGGGCAAAAAAACAAAACCTGACGCCGACCTGAGCCGCGCCGGGATGGCTCGCCACGCCCCCAGCACAGCAGCTTGGTTGCGCAGTGGAAAAAAAAACCCGAGGTATTGAACTAAACGTTTTATTTTAATTTACCAGGTAAAACCCACTGAGCTATTTTAGCTCGCATTCAGAGTGGACCTCGCTGTCACGAGCGACAGCTCAACGAAGTGGCTTATCGCGTGGGAAAGTTACAGCAGCAAATTACTGTAAACGCACGTTTCTAAATGTGGAGGCGAACAAACCGGAGGACCCGGAGAGTGTTAATGACTTGGGAGTGTGAAAACCAAACTGTGCCACTGCACGTGTCCAGTGTGAATAGTGTGAACTTTGTAAATGTCTGTACTCAAGTGCCAGAGACACGGCCGTGCAGGTCTGTGCCTTATTACTGTGGTGACCTTGGTCGAGCATTAACGACTTGCGTCCCCCCCCCTTCCCCCCCCCCCCCCCCCATGATTTGACACGTCATAATTCAAGGTGCCAAATCCATTACCTTATTCTCCGGGGATGAGGGATGAGAAAACTTCGCCCCCCCCCACCCCCCTGCATTTTAATAGGTGTGTGTACGCGTCACCAGATTATTATAACTTTATTGACACCGGGCTTTGGTTTAACAGGCGTTAAATTTTCTTAGCGCCTTTAAACCGCAGAATATGGTTATTAATGTGCCCTTGTGATAATTCCAAATCGGGGGTGTAATGATGGCACAGTGGTTAGTGCTCTGTGTTAAGTACCCCATAACCTGAGTTTGATTTCAGGCCATGACTGACTACAGTGACTAGTCATTTAAACATATATACACGTCTCTCTCGCGTTGTGCGATGTCTTTTCTAAAAGACGCTGGCGATCATGGCGTTCCATTCAGTTCTGTTCATCATATTACTCAACACCTTTGCCTTAGCTACTCCTCCCAGTTGCATACAATTGTTCAAATGGCTTAGAGCCGACTGCGTTCACTCTCTTGCCTCGCTTGGCGTGCCTCGAATCGTCCCAGTCATAACACTGCATTCAGTCTCTTGTTCTCTCATTCCATGTCCAAGAAATCCAACTTATCTTTCTCGAAGTATTATTAGGTTTCTTTTTTTGTACCTGCTAGCCGTTTATTCATTCATATACATTACTCAGTTTGTCTGTCCATGACATTTAAAAACAAAATATTAGAAAGAACCGCATTTCTGTTCTCGTTCTGCTTTGAAGGTTCTTTGTAATTGTCCAGTTTTCGCATGCATACAGGCGAACGTAACATATGTAACAATGCAGTATTCCAGTTCTCGTCATTAGTCACTTATTTGATTTAACAAAAAAGTATATAAGTCCCCATTTTCTGAAATGTATCTTTTGCCAGTGCTATTCTTCTGGTGATCTCTGTGACGCACCTTTTCCCATCGACTCTTGTGCTACCTCCAGAGGGTAATCCATGCTCCACATGCTTCATGTTGGTGTCACTGACTCGTACTTGACATTCATGTTATGATTGTATTCCTTGATTTGGCCATACATCCTGGGGTTTTTTTGACATTTGATTATAGAACACGTCCTTTGACATTATCCAGATTCTGCTGTTTAATACAATATCATTGTATATCTCAGGTTATTTATGTTTTGACCACCAGCCTCTACTCCATGCAACTCCTGTATTTTAATCGAAATAACTTAACTCTATATATAAACAAATCAGGTGATAATATATAGCCTTGGCTAACCCCTCTCGTTACGTACAAAATGTATATACCGGTTTCTTTCATACACATTTTTTATCCTTAATCTGAACAATTCCGATCGCCACTTCCGCTCGTGAGCAACGGGGATGGTAACTTCAAATCGGAATCGCAGACAAAAGGTCACGTGACCACCCAGGATTGTGCCCTCTGTAGACCAATCGTGGTAAGTTGAACATACAGTAAAACCTTGGATTGCGAGTAACTTGGTCTGCGAGTGTTTTGCAAGACGAGCAAAAATTTTAAATAAATATTAATTTGATAAACGAGCGAGGTCTTGCAATACGAGCAGTACGTATACGCTTTGTCTGCCGAGTGTCACGTGATCACAACTGATATACGAGTGCTTTGATATACGAGTGCTTTGGATTACAAACACGTTTCCGGAACGAATTATGCTCGCAATCCAAGGTTTTACTGTAGTTTTCAAATATTTCTGTTTTCATCGGTCAAGCACAACTCCGCCACGCCTTTGCCATCACCGTGCCAACGTTGCCATAGTTCGTGCTCAACGTGCTGCCAGTTGCAATTACCTTCAACAGTTGTCCTAAACAAACAAAAAAACCCAGTTGCATTGTGGTCTTGCACACCCTTTCTTTCGTATGTCACTTGAAGAGCAACCGACACTTTATAACCGCGCGTCGACTTTGATAATCCATTCAATGGCATCAGGAGCTGCCTGATGTGTGTGTACAGCGTCCGTACCTCCTGTGCAAGCATATCATGGGCATTGCTCGTTTTGGTGACGAACAGATTTCACTTCACCACATTCACAACAGGACCACTCATTTTCAAAAGGTGAAAGAGATAACAAATTCTCCTGCGGAGGGTGCTGGTAGGAACGTTGGGTTGCTCGGTCAATGCCCAGGGTCAACGGCGGCACCACCACGTGGTGTATTCCGCAAAATATGCCCGACTGTGAGGGCGGGCACAATCCGGCGTGAGTAGGTTAAGCGTTGAGTTTTATAAGGGCACCACGGGGTGACCAGCCCCTCCCCACCCAGCCCCACCCCTCCCCACCCAGCCCCTCCCTACCCAGCCCCTCCCCTCTCCACCCAGCCCCTCCCCTCTCCACCCAGCCCCACCTCTCCCATTTTTGAATGCACGACGGACGGACACAATAATCCCCTGTGGGCTGGTGTAACCAAGAGGTTCCTACCAGTAATATCCACACCTGCCACCTTGTGTTGATCAAACACGATGTAACCGCAGCCCATCGTCGCCTTCAATGCAGTCCTGCACTGCCCTCTATAGAACCTTGCCATCTCCTCTACATCTTTTCTGTGCTTTCCACTTGAGAGTTTACATGTCCTATAAGTTACATGTCCTATAAGTTACATGTCCTATAAGTTACATGTCCTATAAGTTACATGTCCTATAAGTTACATGTCCAATAAGTTACATGTTCTATA